TTATAAGCATAGAGTTATATACTTATATATATAATACTTATAATATAGATATTTTAACTAAAGTTAGATATTTATATATATTTATAATACTATAGTAATTTTAACTAAAGTTAGTTTTCCCTATGTATTTATAATACTATGGTAAAATACTATAAGTTAGGTAAGTATAGGTATGAGTAAAACCTAACCTATACTAACCTATCTAGATAATAATTATAGGCTTGGCGTCATGTGCCGGGTACCCATGGGTTACCTAATTAAAACCCGCTATACCCATGGGTGGGTATGGGTTTGCCCTAGGCATACCCGGAAACCCGGTGGGTTAGGAATCTAGTGCCCCAAACCCGACCCGCGGGTCGGGTTTAGCCAGTCTAATTCTTTTAATATTAAAGGTTATATTTATAGGCAGTCTATTAGGGTGATATAATTATTTATAATATTTAATATTATTAATAGATTAACTTACTATCTAGTAAATTAGTATAAATAAGTTATATTAACTAGATATAATTAGGCTTATAACTTTTAGCTAAATAATATAAAGATTCTTCCTATATAGAGCTAATAATAAGATAATATTAAATTAACTAACTAGATAACTTTTAGGGATAAATATTATTTATAATATATAAGTATATAGTAAGGTTAGGCCCTGATAATACATGAATAATAGGAATATTAATAAGAAATAGTTAATAAATAGTTAAGTTAATAATATAAAGAGAAACCATATATCTGACGATGGGTATCTGTATATCCATCATAGTCAACACATCCTTAGTAGAGGAACTCTCTATCTTATTATTTTGCTGGCGTCTAGAACGTTTCATTATTAAAGCCTGTGAAGCCTATAGAAAAAAATGGCTATAACTATAAGCATAATTAGGCAAAGTGGCGAGTAGCTCTTAAAGAGATTACCGGTGACTTCTTTTATTCTAATTTACTCAGGGCTAAGTGGGTAGAAATGATAAGAGAAGGAGGCATAAAGATAGAAATAAACAGGCTATAGTGAGAGTTAAGGGGCGGAGGACTCGCGATTGGTAGAGCTATAGGATTAAAAAGAATATAGGAATAGAAAAGGGGCCATGGTGGGCAGAAATGGTGATGTCTCAGTGCCGTAATAGTAAGGGTATTTTAGCCTTTAGTCAATGCTGAGCTAATATTACTAGCCTCTGCATGTTGTAGTCACTAGAACAGAACTTGCAGGAGGTTGCTACTTCTAAGTGGGTCCAGCAAGTATGTGGTTATAGCTGTAGTTAGGGCGTGTTATGATGATGTTATTATATATTACTAAAGGGCCGCCAAAAATAGCAGTCATTTAGTAAGTCTAACTTATTTAAGAGTAGAAGATTTAAGTATAACTATAAATGAGATGATTAAATCATTTATTAAATTAGTTATTAAATCTTTAGAGAGAGTTAGGGAAAAACTAGATAAAAATTAATAAGGCTAATATAGTAATATTAGACCCTTTACTTCTAGACTAGTCACTAATAATTCTATCTAGATATAGATGTCTAACAATAGAGGCTAGTAGTAGAGGAAAAACTAGTAAGGGAACTATAGGAACTAGAAATAGCAGAATTATCCTGCCCTAAACTCTATAATAGTATATAGCTATATATCTATATAAATAGTAGAGATTTTAACCTATAACTATACCACCTTAATACTAATTATTTAACTGATAGAGTTAATAGATAACTATATAGAGAATAAGCTTTCCCTAGAAGCTTAGCTAAGATTTGTAGCCCCTCTAGTTATTAAGATATTAAAGATATTATAGAAACCTTAATTAAATTTAATATAAGAATTCTATGTTAACTATATTTAGGTTTCTATAACATCTTTAACCCCTTATAACTCCACCACCAGGGGTAGTGAGGTTTCTTTATTTTCCAGTCTGATTCGCTTAACATCTTGGTGGGGCCCCTCAAGCCCCTGAGCGTAGCGAGGGTTACAGGCTCATTCCTATATATGCAGGGATAAGGACCTTGCTTCTCTTTCACTCGACTACCAACCATTACTCAGTATTCCTGATGCGGAACAATGAGCCAGAACAGTGAGTTTTTTGTCGAAGGGATACATCAAAATTACCATCAAGGGCCACGAATTACCAGCTGATAGAAACAAGATAGAAACGCACCCAATTCTATTGACATTAATACATCTCACCTCTATTGAAGAGATATATTGAAATCTTTTGTCTTACATCTGAAAGAAAGATTATGTTGGAGGTGTTTGCCTAGTTAGGCTTAGTGTCATCCTACTTGCCTTTTCTCTCTCGCCTGCGCGCGTCCTAGATAGGTTTACTAAATATCCATTATATATATCTCTTCTGCTTTCTCTAGGCCTTCTGTGCCTTAATAGATTATCTTTAGCGTAGAACTTTGCGGTGAACCAGCCACAGTGACTAATAGACAACATAGGCAAGGGAAAATACAATGAATGTAGTACAGTTGTTACACTGGAATGTCACATATTGCTAATTCTCTATATTAGTTAGTCTAGGTGATTCTTTTAATTGGTCAATAGCCTTTGCGCATTCTATAGTCCTTGCTTTCTTAGCACAAATTTAGATAGGCTCATCCAAAATGAACAATCCAGATGAGATATGTTATATATAAACCTGTATAATAAGGTTAAATTTAACTATAAATAAAGTGGAGTGGCGTAATTTTTAAGAAGTCTAACTTTATTTTCTATTTCCCCCATCTCACAAAGGGGCTATTCCTGGTCCTTTACTTTTTTGCACTATGGTTCTCAGAGAATTCAAATCAAAGGCTCTGGATAGCCTTTGCACTGATGAACAACTTGATCTCTTGAACTCTATCGACACCCTTCGATCCCAGGGAATCAGCCATTATGTTTCTTTGCCACAAATTATTGTGTGTGGTGACCAGTCATCTGGAAAGAGCTCTGTACTTGAAGCAATTTCTGGAGTTTCTTTTCCTGTCAAAAGCAACCTCTGTACCAGATTTCCGACAGAACTTGTGCTCCGCAAAGACCCCAGGGCCGGAGTTAGAGTTTCTATCGTACCTCATCAGTCGCGCAGTGAAGCAGAGCAACAGTCATTAGGGAGTTTTTGTGAAGAGCTTGATGGATTCGATGGGCTTCCTCAACTGATTGAGAATGCCAAAGCTGCAATGGGCATCTCCACACATGGAAAGGCATTCTCAAATGATCTTCTGCGGGTTGAGGTGTCAGGGCCCGACAGGCCGCACTTGACTATCGTCGATCTTCCGGGACTTATACACTCTGAGACAAAACAACAATCTGCGGCTGATGTGCAGCTGGTCCAGGATGTGGTCCAGTCATATATGAAAGAGCCGCGAAGCGTCATTCTAGCAGTGGTCTCCGCGAAGAATGACTACGCGAACCAGATTGTGTTACGGCTGGCAAGGGACGCTGACCGGTCGGGCAATCGAACCTTAGGCGTCATCACGAAACCCGATACATTGACTGCAAACTCGGAAAGCGAAAGAATGTTCATATCTTTGGCAAATAACCGGGACGTTGAATTCCGGCTGGGATGGCATGCGCTCAAGAATATGGATACCGACCAAGGGACTTGGACAGTTGGGGAACGGGATCAAAAGGAGCGTGACTTCTTCTCCAAGGGAGCTTGGGGAGGACTGCCATCCTCCTTGGTTGGGATCGACTCACTACGAACCCGCCTCAGTCAATTGCTTCTGCGACAGATTGCGGCTGAGCTTCCGAGTCTTATTGAGGAGATAAAAGCAAAGGAGTACGAGTGCACACAGCAACTGAAAAAGCTTGGCCAGCCGCGAGCTACGTTAGACGAGCAGAAGTGCTATCTTTTGAAAATCAGTCAATCTTTTCAATCTTTGGTCAAGGCTGCTGTTGATGGCACTTACAACGACGTGTTCTTCGAAGGTATCCAATCGTCTACAGGACGTCAGAAGCGTATCCGCGCTATTACCCAGAATCTGAATGAAGTGTTTGCGGAGCGGCTCAGTCAGGGGGGCCACTACCGAAAAATAGCAGAACATGAGAATCAACGTGCCACCGAGGGCCAAATCCTGGTCACGCGAAGTGGCTTTATTAGCCATATTCAGGAACTTATGAAACAGACGAAAGGGCGGGAACTGCCTGGAACATTCAACCCTATGATCGTCGGTGAACTCTTTCTAGAACAATGCCGTCCCTGGGAAACTATGGCACGCCGACATATTCTTACGACCTGGCAGGCAGCCGAGAGATTTTTGTGGCTTTTGATTAGACATATATCTGACGAAGCAACTTCGGTCGTTCTCTTCGCGGAAGTCATCTCCCCTGCACTGGATCAACTTCGAAAAGTCCTGGTCCAGAGATGCGAAGAAATCCTTGAACCTCATCAAAAAGGCCATCCAATCACCTATAATCACTACTTCACTGACACCCTGCAGAAGATCCGTGCCGGGAGGAGGCAAGATGAGATAAGCAAAATCATTCAACAGTTCTTTGAGGTAGATGATCTACAGACGTCCCATTACCTCCAAGGAAATTACCATCTACAGGCTCTCCATGACTCACTTCTCGAGTGCCGTGAGCCTGATATGATGAAATTAGCTTCGGCTGAGGCTTTAGATTGCATGCTCGCATATTACAAGGTACGGAAAAATACTAGTTCATCCCTATGTTCTCATCTGATCAGTTCTGAATCGTCCAGGTGGCATTGAAACGATTCATCGACGACATCGCGGTGGAAGTAGTAGAGGTCAGACTGGTCCAGTCTCTGGCTTCTATATTCACGCCCATCCAGGTATTCGAAATGCCGCCTGCATTGGTATCGCGCATCGCCGGTGAGTCTGAGGAAAGCCGTACACTGCGAGAGCAATTGTACAGAAAGATACAGATCCTTAGGAACGGCTTAGGGACCTGTCGACGCTTCGTTGATAGCCGTGGCATGGGCACGGAGGATGTAAAAGCGACACAGAATTTTGATGCCAAGCCCCAGGACCGGCCTGACCATACATCGTTGCACATTCAGCTTGCGGACCATGAAGTTTTGGATGATTTTGGGAGCCCTTATGAAGAAGGTTTTGAGGATAAAAACGAAGGTGAATATGTCTGCGAAACGCCTACTGAACTCGTTTCTGATCCTCAGTGTGTTGAATGGAGTGACGGAGATGACCAGCCTACAGCCGCCTTGTTAGCTACAGAAGATTGTATGCCGCCTGAGACTGTTCTGCCCGAAGAACCCCCAGCTAGGATAAGCTCATCGAAGAAAAAGGGCAAAAAGGGTTCGAAGCACTAGCTTACTATATTAGACTTCAATTGTTAAGGCGATATTCCCTTATGAGTCCTCTGGGTGGAGTTTTAGTTGTTAATTTTCTATTTTGATCCACTCTCATGCGAAGAATACAAGTATTGGATAGTATATCAGTCCAGATGCGATGCCTGATGAAGTACATATTAAGAGCCATGGAGGAGCTATGTCATTTTAAAATAGTAAAGCTACTAATTATCCTCCTACTAAATTCCCTCAGTCCAATTAAGTGGCGCAAGTTGGTGCATAAGCATGGATCATTATTGAGTCTTCACTATGTTAAATGGCCCAAAATTTATTAAAGGTGACAGCCAAGGTTTAAGATTAAGGCATACCTTAGATAAATTCAATACACATCCATGTGTTTATTTAATTAAGCATAGCTTATACTATTTAATTATCACCCTGTTGATGAGCATACCATGCTATGTTATTCCAAATCTACTTATTCTCTATTTTGGACTCTATGATTCAGGGATTTTATTTCTGGTAAGAGTGATTTCCAAAAAACGCCTATATATTCGTTTCACCTATTTATATGTGTCTCCGAGGGGTGCAGAGGAAATCATTGTTCAGGTGTCAATACTGAAGATAACTATGTTATACAGTATATGATGGAGAGCAGTAATCATGCCATCAATGCTCTGGCGCCGAAGCTCTAGGCTATTGGCATTATTGTTACTCTTTCTGGGGATCAAGATCCGGATCTTCTGGACTACTCTGCGATCTAAGGAAACTGCCTCAGGGAGCCGAAGTTGACGGAGATGGAAAGTTTAGGTGGATAGAAGGGAAAATAGAGGCCGGAAAAAAGTTGAGCTGAGCTAGGATGCTTATCATATATAACTGCTGTGGTGGACGCCCCAGTGGACAGAGAGCTCATGCACTATAAGCATATAGAAAGGGCAGCGGAACCAAGCGAGCGAGTCGAGTCGACAGAGGCATGTCTAAGGCTGATCAGTTAGTATTTCAGGTCTTCGTGCAACTTTTTTTTTGGATATACAATAATCTTTCAGGAAAGATTTGTAATCCGGCAATGGGCCAGCCCCTTAAGCCCCTGAGCGTAGTGAGGGTTATAGGCTCATTTAAAGTATAGGATTTGCCTTATAGATTGACAGCATGCTGACGGCCGAGTTTCAGACCTGGTTCTACCTAAGGTCGATGTCCGTTCCCGACGTTGTTGTCGGAGACCATGACTCTAAATGGATTTGCGGAGATTGTCGGTGCTTCTATGGGTGGATGTTGATATGTAGACTAGTATCAGTACCAGCATCACAGCTTCCCTACAATAGATCGTAGCATAAAGAGGATATATTGAGCATATTATTTACTATCCTTGAGAAGTAGCCTGCGTTAGAAAGACGTTGCCACGCCGACGCTCTTCTGCTCCGCCAACTGCAAGAGCTGGTCCCCCGCAACGACATCCATGATCCCCAAGCCGACACATTTGAAGACGACAGACCCCCGGCGGAGGATGTTCTGCAGCGCCTCGTCCTGGGCAAGGGAGGCCATGACTTCGCCGATCTCCGTGACGGCGTCGGGCGAGACGCCCGCTTGGATGAGCTCGCCCGCCTCCTTCAGACAGGCGCTTCGCGAATCGACGGCCAGCAGATCCCCCGCCAGACAGGTCTGGGAGTCGACCTCCTGCATGTGCGGCTTGTAGGAGCCGATCAGGCTGATGTAGCGGTTGGTGCGGGTGGCGGAGAGGTAGCGGTGCGGGAACAGCGGGCTGGTGGACGGGGTGCAGCAGAAGATGGCGGCCGCGTCGGCGACGGCGGTCTGCAGCTGGGCGTCGTAGGCGTCGTTGCCGTCCCTGGCGAGGGCGTGGAACTGCACGGCGGGATACTCGCGGCGGAGCGGGGCGAGCACGGCGGCGTCAAACGCCGCCAGAGAGGCAGGGCTGCGGTTGACGACCGTCACCGTGGCGATGGACCCTCGGCGCGGGCCCAGCAGGAGCGCCAGGCGGAGATGCCACTCGGCCTGCTTGCCCGCGCCAAACATGACCAGGCCCGCGGCGTCGGTCGGCTCGAGCTCGCGCTCCGTGAAGACCAGCATGCTGGCCAGCGCCGTGCGGAAGGCCGTCAGCTCCTCGGCGTTGAGAACGCCGCGCAGGTCGCCCGAGGCGGCGTCGAACAGGCTGATGGAGCCCGCGGGCGGACCCCCCGCGCCGGGCAGCGTCACCACCTTGATGCCCGTGACGGCGCCCGCGGCGCTGGGCATGAACAACGTCGTCGTGCCGTCCGCGTGGACGAGGGCGTCGCGCGGAGGCTGGTGGATGTCACGTGCGCCGGCGGAGAGGGCGGTCAGCGTGTGGCGCAACCGGTTCAGGAAGTCACGTGCCTCATCCCGTGACAGGCCGCGGAGCAGGCCGACGCTCGCTTCATGATTCAGGACGCGCATGACTGATACCAGCAATGGTTGACACTAGCAATGGAATGGCACCAAGTGGCAATGGAGATAATGGAAGCTGACACTGATATTCCACAGTAATCCTGGCGATATGGACAAAGTATATGCGATAGCCGTGATGCCGGATGCGGACAGGTAGATGGGCCGGGTGCGCGTACCCGGCGATCAGTAATTGGCCGTGGTAATATTCAGTAGATAAAAGCCTACTCGATAGAGCCCACTAATAGCCATTCCTACTATCTGGTTATCTGCTATCTTCTTCTCACTTTACTCGGCTCCAGCCACTCGCCATGACCCCCGATGTGCCCCCGAGCCAACTGGCGACGGACATCCTCGCCGCCGCGAGCCAACTGGCGACGCTGGGGCAGGACGACGCCCTGGACGAGTTCTGGCCGGCGCTGTCGGGCGCCCTGAATGTCGCCTTCCCACACACCTCGTGCACGGTACTGGCGTACCACCGCCCCTCGCAGACGCTGCTGCGGCTGTACAGCTCGCGCCCGGACGTGCACGCCGCGGGCGGGCGCAAACGTGTGCGCGACGGCACCGTGTGGAAACGCACTGTGCTCGACGCGGGCGATATCCTGGTCGGCTCGACGCGCGACGACATCCGCGCCCTGTTCCCAGAGTACGAAAACCTCTGGGCGCACGGACTCGAGAGCATCCTCAACATCCCCGTGCGGCGGGACGGCGTCACCATCGGCTCCGTCAATCTGATGAACCGCGAGCATGCCTTTGACGACGCCGACAAGGCGCTCGCCATGCTGTTTGCCCAGCTGGCGGTTGCCCCGTTGGAGAAGATGAGCAGAGACATGGACCAGGTGCCTATGGGGGAGGTGCAATATGTATAGCATAACTGAAATATCCACTATACAACTATCAACTATACTAAAAACACTTGACTATACTGAACTATGCCGGCGAGAGACTAGACAGACTAGACAGACTAGACAGACTAGGTAGTGTACATGAACGACTTGTCGTTGAAGTCGGTGACGTCGGCGCCGGCCTCGTAGGGGCTGACGTAGCCCTCGACGGCGAGGCGGGTGCGTTCCTTGTTGCGCATGGAGGCGATGGACCAGTAGGTCAGCATCAGGACGATGAACAGCCCCCATGCGACCAGCGAGCAGATCAGCCCGTTGGTGTAGCGCGGGGCGTCCTTGGAGCTCCAGAGCTGCGGGAAGGCGATGCCGCCCGTGCAGTAGCCGATGAAGTACAGCGTGTTGACGATCGACTTCTTTGTGTTGCCCTTGACGTTTGAAGCGTTCAGGCTCATCGTGATCGTGAAGATGGAGGACCCGGTGCCGCCCTGAGCCGTTACGTTAGACAGACAGAAAAGAACACGACAGGACAGGACACAACATACCAGCCACGCGCCGACGATAATGCCCCAGCCGTGGAAGGGGAGAGCGACAAGCAGGATACATCCGACGATGGGGATCAGGATCAGCCCGATGACGACCAGACAGCGCCTCTGTGGGAAGAAACGGCAGCCCAGCACGCCCGCCCAGATGGCCACGATCTGCACCGCGCCGGAGGGGCAGTTGTAGATGAGCGTCTGCGCGGAGCTGTACCCGAGCCTTTCAATCATGAGTGTAGCAAACTAGATTGTCAGCATTCAGAGTATGAGAAAAGAAAAGAAAAAAAAAAAAAAAAAAAAAAAAAAAAAAAAAAAAAAAAAAAAAAAAAAAAAGCTCACCGTCAAGACAGGCGCTGGAGCAGTGACCAAGATGCCGAAGAGAAAGGCGGCATAGGAGTTGAAGTCGCCGAGAGACTCCTTCAGCTGCTCAAGGGAGAAGTTGGTCTTGTCGCCGCCGTCGTGCTCCTCGGCCAGCCGCTGGGCGGCGGCGATGCGCTCCTCGGGGGTCAGGAACCAGGCGGTCTCCGGGTTGTCCGGCATGGCGAAGAAGAAGACCAGGCCGATGAAGGAGGTCATGGCGCCACAGATAATAAACATGACGCGCCAGGGGGCCATGGTCAGGCTGTGGCTCTGCCCGATCCCGTACATCAACAGGCTGCCCAGCAGGGAGGCCAGGCCGTTGCAGGTAATCCAGCATCTAGACAGTCAGCCATGATCTGGAAGCACGAAGTTTTTTTTTTTTTTTTTTATTTTTTTTTCATTTTTGAATCAGTCAGTCATACCCGATGCGTAGTGGATGCTCCGACTTCTTGTACCAGATGCTGGTGATGGTGATGAAGGCCGGGCTGACGGCGCCCTCGCTGACGCCCAGCAGGAAGCGGACGGCCAGGAACTGGCCGTACGTCTTGGGGGCCGCGAGGCACATGCAGATTCCGCCCCAGATGACACTGCTGGTCAGTAATGGCGCGCCAGGTAGGTCCTGTAGAGCGCTCTTACATGGTGACGCCGACAAACTTGGACAGACGCAGGCGCGACATGAGATAGATGAAGGGGAACTCGGAGACCAGCTGGCCGACGTAGAACATGGCAGACGTCCACGAGTACTCGGTGCCGACCAGGTGGAGGTCAGTCTCGAGGCCCTCGACGGCGGCAAAGGCAAGACTCTGTTTGTCGAGATCTGCAGGTGAGCAGGCAGAAGCCAACATCAGGCATCTCTCTGCACGTACATTGGAAGAAAAACACAAAGCACAGCAGCGGCAGGATGACGAGGTCGATTTTGCGCAGCACGCGCTTCTTGGTGGCGGCATCGCTGTACAGCTCACAGCTGCCGACGGGCTCGGTCGAGTCGGCAGACAAGGCCGGGTTGGAGGCCTCTCCCATCTTGAGGTCGGACGACATGGCTGAGACGGGCGTGGGCAATGGGGGGGGAGGCCAGGCAGCGAGCAGGGCTGCGAAGGCATTTATGACCCCAACTATCGCCGCAAGGGCTATCGCATTATCTCTCGTGGCCAAACGGCCGACCCACCGGACCTATCTCCCCCACAATCGGTGAAGCTCGATTCCTGGGGTTGTGCATGAGAAATTCGGCCAGGGCGGAGGAGTCAGGATAAGGCCCGGGTGCGCGCACCCGGGCCGGGAACGGCGGCGTCTTATCTATATTGGATACTCTTCTTCATTACACGGTTATCTGACTATGTATCTTCTCATTGACTACTGACTTCTTTTCTTTCCCTTCCCAGTGCTCCCCTTGTATCTTCATCATGTCTGAACTCCAAGCCTTTGTGCGGCCCTGGCTGCCCGTCAACTCGGCCAACGCCTCGTGGGTGCTGAAGAACGCGAAGCTGGTCGACCCCGTGGAGGGCCGGATCCTGGCGCCCGCGACAATCCACCTGGCCGGCGGCGAGGTGCGCGCCGTGGCCATCGGCGACGAGCCCCTGGTGCCCGCGCCCGCTGCGGACGCCCGCGAGGTGGACGTGGGCGGGCAGTACGTGTGCCCCGGGCTGATCGACAGCCATGTGCACATCAACGCCGTGCCCGGGGAGCCGGACCTGCGCCAGACGCTGGCGACGCCGATCGAGCAGGTGCACTTCCGCATGGTGTACGTGTGCCGCGACATGCTGTACCGCGGCTTCACGACGGTGCGCGACTGCGGCGGCGCCCCGCTGGCGCTCAAGGAGGCCTGCGCCGAGTGGGTGATCGCGGGCCCGCGCATCCTGCTGGCCGGCCACGCCCTGAGCCAGACGGGCGGCCACGGCGACTTCCGCGGCGCCCACGACCACACCCACGACTGCGCCGGCAGCTTCGTCTCCGGGCTCGGGCGCGTCGCCGACGGGGTGCCCGAGTGCCTGCGCGTCGCCCGCGACGAGATCCGCTGCGGCGCCGACTTCCTTAAGATCATGGGCGGCGGGGGGGTCGCCAGCCCGACCGACCGCCTGGAGCACCACCAGTACACCCCCGAGGAGATCGAGGCGTTTGTCTCGGTCGCCCGCAACACGGGCACCTACGTGACCTGCCACGCCTACACCCCCTCGGCCATCCGGCGCGCCATCGAGCACGGCGTGCTGGGCATCGAGCACGGCAACCTGCTGGACCGCCCGACGGCGCAGCTGATGGCCGCCAAGGGGGCCTTCCTGACCCCGACCCTGATCGCCCTGCGCGCCATGGCCGACGAGTCGCTGGTCAGCTACCTGCCGCCCGCCAACGCCGCCAAGAACCAGCACGTCCTGGCCGCGGGGCTGACGGCCCTGAAGCTCGCCCACGAGGAGGGGGTCACCCTGTGCTACGGGTCCGACCTGCTGGGCCCGCTGGGCAAGTACCAGGCCCTGGAGTTTGAGATCCGCGCCCAGGTGCTGCCGGCGGCCGACATCCTGCGCAGCGCCACCGTCAACCCGGCGCGCATGATGGGCCTGGCCGACACCATCGGCCAGGTCAAGCCGGGCTTCCGCGCCGACCTGCTGCTGCTGCAGGCCAACCCGCTCGAGGACATCACCGTGCTGGGGCGCCCGGAGACGGTGACGGCTGTCTTCAAGGACGGCATTCTGTGCCGCGACGACCGGAATCTGCTGGGGGGGGGGCTGCTGGACTCGTGGGCCAAGTTATGATCAATCTAAAAATCTTGAATAATTAATATAGAAATTATGAATAAAAAAAAATCATAATAATAGAAATTATAAATGAACACAGAAGTCAGAATAATAGAAATTAGAAATAAAAACACAAGTCAGAATAATAGAAATTAGAAATAAAAACAGAAATCATGAAGACTAGAAAGAAGGGGTGGAACAGACGGAAGACTAGATGGAAGACTAGATTAAAGCAGAAAGCAGACAATGGAGTTGGAAATATCCATTAACACCATTAATTACATTAATACATATTAGATAAGAAACCCCGGCAACAGGCCCGGGTAGAGGGACATAAATACTCTCTCTCTGACTACTTCCTACTCTCGCTCTCACTCACTCTTACTCTCACTCTTACTCCTACTCTCTCTCACTCTCTCTCTCCTTCTCACCCTCCTACTCTCTCACTCTCACTCTCACTCTCACTCTCACTCTATCATAATATATAATATGGACATCTACGAGCGCTTCCGCGCTGGCGACGCCATCCAGTGCATCGACATGCACACCACTGGCGAGCCGACACGCATCATCCTCAGCGGCTTCCCCAAGGTCGCCGGCACCCTGCTGGAGCAGCGCGAGCAGTACCGCGCCCACCACGACCGCTACCGCCAGGCCGTGATGCTGGAGCCCCGCGGCCACGAGGGCATGTACGGCGCCCTGCTGGTGCGCGACTCGGAACTCATCGCCACAGGCGCCGCCGACATCGCCGTCCTCTACCTGCACAACGAGGGCTACTCCACCATGTGCGGCCACGCCGCCCTCGCCCTGGGCCGCTTCCTCGTCGACACCCACGACCTGGCCGTCTTCCCGCGCCGCGACGCCCTGCCCTTTGACCGCGACACGCTTACCACGACCGTCAACCTCCACACCCCGTGCGGCATCAACCGCCTGTCCGTCCCGACCACCCCGGACGGCCGCTCCGCCGACCCGGCCCGCCTGGTCTCCTTCCTCTCCGTGCCCTCCTTCGCCGGCGCCCTCGACCTCTCCGTGCCCATCCCCGCCGCCGCCCGCTGGCCGGAGCTCGCCGGCCGCGACGCCGTCACCGTCGACCTCTCCTATGGCGGCGCCTGGTATTGCATGGTCGACGCCACCGAGCTGGGCTTCTCCACGGGCCTGCAGCCGCTGCAGATCGCCGCCTTTGACCGCATCACCCGCATCGTCAAGGCCGCCATCGTCGACAACCCGGCCGTGCGCGCCCAGATCCACGTCCCGCACGGCATGGACCTCGACTTCTACCTCTACGGCGTCATGGTTGTTGACGCCGCCCACGCCGCCCCGGTCGCCGACGTCGCCGGCGCAGAGACCGGCCTCTGCTTCTTCGCCGACCAGCAGATCGACCGCTCCCCGACGGGCGGCTGCGTCGCCGCCCGCATGGCCCTCGCCGCCGCCAAGATCCGCCGCCCGCTCCGCCAGCGCTGGGCGTTCCACTCCCTTGTCTCCAACCCCTACGGCGGCGCCTTTGTCGGCTCCAACGTCGACGAGGTCGACATCCCCGGCGGCCATGGCCTCTCCGCCCGTGGCGTCGTCGTCCAGGTCGAGGGCCAGGGCTACTATACCGGCGCCGCCACCTTTGTCACCGAGCCTGCCGATCCCCTCACCACGGGCTTCTCTTTGAAGGAACTGGAGAGTGCTAGCTAGATCTAGGGAGTATAGTAATAAATATGAGATTCTAGAAGCCATTAGAATACCATTCAAGATGGAATATGGAAACTTAGGGTTAGGGAAGGCTTCGTGTCTACCACTCGCTGCCCAGTCATTACATCCAATTTCATTAAGAATACTGTAGGCTCACCCTAACCACTTAGGATTACATTCATACATTCAGCCATCTGCATAATGAGATAGCTGGTGTCATGTATGCAAAACCTCCGCCAGCAGGATCTCCCAGGGCTCCTTTGCATGGCTGGCCAGGACAACAGAAGAGCGGAAGCAGTTCATCCTCAGAGGCTTGGGTGATGGGGAGATATGTATTTATATTCTATTACATTCTACAGCACAGAAATAGGCTTTACTACTCGCCTGCCAAATATGCACGGCTGCAACCAACCCGCCTATGCCGCCTCCACCGTCTTGCTTGTTTCGTGCAGAAACCCCAACCCTAACCCTAACCCTGATTCCATCCTTGCGAAATGGACATATCCTGACAGTGCTGTTCCTACCACTATATACATATTTATATAATATATGGAGCAATCTATGTAGTGCCCATATTTACCAATGATAGTCAGCTTGCTTAGGTTTAACAGCTAAGTATTATAGATAAGATAGTGAGCATGTTTTATACCTAGATCTTCTCACAGAGTGCTATGACTTGATATTGAATTGCTGTTATTGATTGCTCTTGTAAGGATCTGCCTTATCTGCCCCTAAGAGTTACTATATAGGGCCCAGGGGCTAGGATAATCGCGGCTAATGTTGACCTTTGGGTCTAGTAGTCTAGTGTCCCCAGGTCTAGTAACTAGTTCTTACAACTCTAGTAATTACTTCTCTACAGTTATATCTGCTTTATACTGGTCTTCCTAAGTTCGTATACCTGTACTCGGATATTTAATACAGAAACTGTCTTAGTACAGAAATTGTCACAAAACCTTGATTATAACAGATACTCAGCAAAGGAATACCCACCTTTTCTTTAGGAGTAAACATTCTTTCATTTCTTGTTGTCATAAATTTGTTCCTTCTACTCATTTTATATTGCAGTTATAAAGTACTTACTATATAGTTAGTTAGTACCTAATGACCGACGCATTGGTATCGCTGTCTAGCTAATACCACGTGACACTGATAAGACTTGCGGGGAACTTCTCGCCTCATCCTTGACCTCACGCCGTGCCACCCCCGGGTCTGGCTGCCCTGCACGACATGGACATACACTCGTCAGATCCTGGATTCCCAACGGTCTTGCAGCCCGCCGCTGGCTCCGCGGGCGCCGAGCCCCCGCGACGCACCGGACGCAAGCCCCGGCCGCGGGTGCCGGACGACAGACGAAAACGAGCGGCACGGGCGTGAGCTTCTCCCTCGACGCTGCGCCTGATGGACACCCGCTGACTTGTCTCGTGTAGATGCGACGAATGCCGACGGAAGAAGGAAAAATGCGATGCGCAGGCCCAGTGCGGACGGTGTGGGCGGTTACGCCTGGAGTGTCGGTACAGCGTCGTGGTTGCCGCCGGGGGATCGAATCCGGGGTACAAGTCTGCAGTCGCTCCATCCGCCAGTGCAGACAACAGTCCAGGGTAAGCCTGCCCTTTGATTTCCCACCATCGCCCACCCCCTAACTGTCCCTCTGGTCCGGCTGACAAAGGGAGAAGCGACAGGCCCGGCGAGATGAGCGCAGAGGAACGATTACACTGCCTGGAGAAGATACTGTCGCACTGTCTCGGAGGCGCGGCCCTGGGCGATGAACAGCTGCGAACCCTGGCGGCCTCTGTGCCGTCCCCCTCAACGCCGGAGACGGCGCCGGAGACGGCGCTCGCCAGCCTGCTGGCGGACGGGCCGGACTTCTCGCTCGGCGCCTTCACCCGGACGATCGAATCGGCCATCGCGAAGAAATGCGATGCGTCGCAGCTGGAACCGACGGTCCTGCTCGGGGCCGCGCCGCCGCTGGAGCAGCCGGCGGCGGACGAGCCCCTCCCGGCGCTGCCGGAGCACCCCCATGGGCCCGGGCGGAATGGCGGCGACGAGGCCCGGCGGGCGCCCCTCGGCGCGGCGCTGAGCTGTCTCCCGCCCAAGGCGATTGCGCAGTTCCTCGTCGACGTGTTTCTCCGCTACACGCAGACGAACATCTACTACGTCGAGGAGAAGTGGCTGTACGCCTTTCTCGACGCCTACTACGCCGGCCCCTCCGCCCTGGCGGGCACGACCGACGCCGCGAGCGTGTGCACGGCGCTCATGGCGCTGGCGTGCGGCACGCAGTTTGCCCACATGGAGGCCTTCCGGCTGACGAGCCTCGTGGACGGCCAGCCCGTGCACTTCTCCGAGGACGAGGTCGGGCGCCAGTTCCACCAGGCGGCGTGCGCGCTCATGCCCGACGTGATCATCGCGGCCTCGTTCCGCAGCGTGCAGGCGTGCCTGATGATGGCGACGTACAACTTCTCGCTCGACTCGGCGGGCGCCTCGTACACGTACCTCAGCCTGGCCCTGAGCCTCGCCGTGCGCAACGAGATGCAGGACGAGCGCCGCTACGCCGCCACCGCGGACGCCGTGGCCGCCGAGGTCGAGCGCCGCGTCTGGTGGACCGTCTACACCCTGCAGAAGCAGGTCAGCCTGCGGTACGGGCGCCCCCGGCTGCTGGCGCACGCCGACGTTGATGTCGCGCAGCCCACCGACCTGCCCGAGCTGCGCCCAGGGCGCGAGATCTCCAACTTCGACAACCAGCGCGCCCTCATCAACCTGACCCTACTCCTCGAGGCCGGCGGCGACGAGATCGCCGCCCTGCGCCGCACCCGCCTGCCCGTCCACTTCCTCAACCTCTTCTCCCTCCGCCGCCAGCTCGTCGCCTGGCGCGACCGCCTGCGCCCGCTCGACTCGCCCTGGGCCCCGGACACAAACGTCTGCCGCCTGCGCAACGACATCCACATCCACATCTACTACTGGACCACCCGCCTCTCGCTCGGCCGCCCCTTCCTGCTCGCCCCGCACCCCCGCCCCGCCTCCCCGGCCGACGCCCCGGACGACGCCCCGGACGGCCGCGGCCGCCGCCACCGGCTCGGCCACGAGGTCCTGGTGCAGGACTCGGTCAGCGCCGCCCTCCAGATCATCCACCTGTGCGAGCTGCTGCGCGACCGCGTGGGCCTGTCGCGCGCCTCGTACGCGCTCGAGTTCACCTGCTGCCGCACCGCCATGCTGGTCCTGCTGGCGCAGAACATCGCAGAGCCGGGCGGCGCCAAGGTGCGCGGCGCCCTCTCGCGCGGCCTTGAGCTGCTCCGCGTCATGGCCATCAGCAGCAGCCTGGCCCGCTACGAGGTCCACGTCCTTGAGGCCCTCGAGAACGCCATCCTCCGCCTTGAGTCCGCCACCAAGCTGCATATCCAGGCCGCCTGCAGCCCCAACGCCGCGGACCGCTCCATGTATGATACCTTGCAGACCTGGGGGCGTCTCTGGCAGCACCCGCCGCGCGGGTCTCTGTCTTCGGCCGCCCCCGATCCTCATCAAGGGCCTCATCTCCCCCCCGCCCTGACAGACACCAGTCAGCTCGTGGTCCATGATGGGCCACAGCACCACCCCCACGAACACCTCCATCCCGTCGACTCTTTTCCTCGCATCCATGGCCCGGACAATATGGATCTCGAGTCCTTCTCGTCCGAACTCGACCAGTTCGACCGCATTCCCGAATTCAACTTCAGCCTCGATCTGCTGGATGGCAGGTACGGCCAGCTCGACGAGCTGGCCATGTATGATTTCTCTTGACCATGTATCTATATCTATATGTATAAGTAGACCTTTCCCTTTCTCGCTTCTGTCCACCCATATCCTCGTCTATCATAAGGCCCTGCTTAGCAAGAATTCTTGCAGAGAGAGGAATCCTCGCTCAGTGTATGTATGGTACATATAGCACTCATTGTGCAGTTAAGTACTATATTAGTTCCATATGGCATGAATACTATAAATTTATAAACACCATGGAGAGTCATATCTAGTATCTTAATAGGGACTAATTAAGCAGTAGCCTAAGGAGGAGTATTAATATGCTCTTTAGAAATCCTATATACTGGCAATAGCATAGTCCCTGCTTCTTTATCTATTAACCTACTATATACTATTTACTATATGCATGAAGAGGTGGCACTCTATATAATACTAAGAACTTAGGCTGTAGCCATAATAAATAAAGCTGAGCTAAACTTAAAGTATAAGGAATTGAGAGGAAATCCAGCTCATAAGCTAACAATCATCTAATCACTAAGCTAGAATTCTTCTCTGGACTCTAAGCTCATGGACGGCTTCTTCACCCGTGTTAATGCTTGGCATGTTTTAAGTAGTCTATGCTAGTGCTATCACTGGCTGCAGCTGCTGCACCTTTGGGGGCCAAAGAAATGATTGGGGGAATATCAGTCTATGTACTAAATACTATTTAATTAGTCCTAGACCCTGTCGGCTGACCCTCGCCGTTAAATGGTCTGGACTCTCTTCTCTCTCTGCTATCCACTCTTCAACCTACAGTCCGATGATCTCAAAAGCCCTTCTGACCGCCGTCCTGGTCTGCGGTGCGGTCGCCGCCGTGCTGCCGCGCGACACGACCATCACCGTGCCAGATGAGGTGGTGTACCACGCCGAGTCGGAGGAAATCTGCATCCCGACGAAATGGATCGACGTGGTGATCTTCTTCTTCGGCAACTACTTTGCGCATGCCGCCACGGTGGTCAAGTTCCCCGGCGAGCCGCACCACATCATCGCCCTCAACATGCTCCTGGTCGTGCTCTTCCCCTGTCTGGGTGCCGGGCGCGGGCTGTTTGTCCTCTCGCGCCGGGCAGCGCTCTTTTCCAAGGACCCCCTGCAGCAGGCGCTCCAAGCCCAGGCCCTGTGTATGGTGGTGCGCGCTCCGACATGGACGCCTCGGGCTGGACAATCGCTTCGCTCGCTGTCGCTGCGGCCAACGACTGTGCCGGGTACCGCCGAGAAGGATGCTGACGAGTACTGGAGAATTGGTACGGTGCCGACAGTCTGAATGAGTCCCTTAGGGTTAGGGTTAGGGTTAGGGTTTAGGGTTTAGGCTAACGATTTGAAGCACACAGCGAAGATCTCCCAGGGGAATATAAGAAGTTGTACGTCTCCATCAAGAATATGCTGCGCCGGAGATCCCTTCACTAATTATAATCATCAGTGCAAGCTACTCCGGCCCCTTCCAGATCCTCACCCGCACCCCGCCGTGGCTGCTGATGAACTTTGAATGGTCCACCAAGCACATCCAGGTGCTGAAGGACTACCAGATCTCCGGGGTCTGCGAGCTGCCCGACGGCTACGAGCTGGCCTATGTCCCCGCCAACGCTCGAGTGGCCCGGGCGACCATGACCCCGGAGCAGCTGCGGTGCCTCCTCGGCCCGTCGTACGATCTGGCCGCCGCGGTGATTGCCATTGTGCAGATTTTCTATGCCTGCTACACCCTCTACCGGTCCCGGGGGTTTCAGATCACCACCTACGGCTACGCGGCGTTCGGCTTCACCGTGCTGCCCTACCTGTTGATGTCGCTGGTCAATCTGCTCGGCACCCTCGCCACGCCGAGCTACGCGAAGCTCTCTCTCGTCCAGACGGAGATCATGGACGAGGCGATCGCGCGTGGTGGGCGGTTCACAGACGTCGTGGGCACGCTGGCTAGCGAGCCCCTGCGCGTTGAGGATCTGATCGTCTTCACGGCGTCCTTCCAGCCACACGGAGGCGAGGTCTGGTGCCAGCTCGGCGATCGAGTGTGCGAGTCGGGCAGTATAGAGCCTCTCGACGGCACAGGCTTCCTCTCCGAGCCCGTCAAAATGGACAATCGCGAGCCGGAGACTCCTCCCTCGGCGCCTCTTCTCAACGACAAGGAACAGGAACGGCCCACCTTGATCTGCCCGAGCTGCTACAGCTTCCAGACCGTCTCCAAAGCCGCCTCGTCCACCAGCATCCGCCATCGCAACAACCACTTTGGCCCGCGGTCCGCCCTCTTCGCCGCCGCGGTCTGGGTCACCGCCGCCCTCCCCCTGATCCCGATCGGCGTCCTCTCCCGCTTCCACAGCGGCGAGCACAGCACGCTCGCCCAGCGCGCCTGGATCCTGGCATGGTACATTGTCGGGATCATCTCCGTCTCGAACCCGTTCTTCTCGGACTGGATCGTCGAGAAGGGCATGCGCGCCGCGATCGAGAGGCTCACCGCGTTTAAAAAGAACAGGTCGTCCAGGGGATTGGTTCTGCGCGTCTATCTCCTCGCAGGCCTGTCGGTCTCTGTAGTCGGGTTCTTCCTCATCTTTGGGACCCCTGCCATCGGCCGTTTAGTTGTCGTCGCGCAGATGTTGATGGCGTACGGGAACTGCACGAGTTTAAAGGGATGATCTGAGCGCAGCTCTTGAACACTTATATATACTCACTCAGCTGTGGATTTAAACCTCAATATAGATATATATATCTCCTGCAGCCACCATACTTGTATGCTCATCTAGTGCTAAGATCAGTAACAAGGGTAGTGTCATACTATGACACCAACTTGCAGCCATGAAAACAGCGCAGACTAGACACTACCAGCATTAGGGTTTAGGGTTCGGGTTTAGTATTCAACAATATTTCATATTCAATAGTCAAGGATCTAAGGCACAGCTGTAGCATGGCAGGAGTGGTGGGCTAGTGAGGATAAGATCAAGCTTAAGGAGAGCTTCAGGCATCTGCAATAACTTGTAACACTGTAAGGTGGTGGATCTGCCTGCTCTGGCATCATGTCAACTTCTTGTATACTTATCTAGATGATAGATAGATGGACGACCAACAGTAACTTGACAAGTAACATATTCTATAAATATTAACTATTCATAGACACCACCTTATTGATCTTCATTTTCTCCCCCCCTCTCCTGTCATAAATATTCTACCTATAAAAGAATAAAGAGCCACCTTGTAGATCTAGTCAATCTGGTCGCGCTGCTAATCTAGCTGTCTATAGTAGTCTCTAGCTTATGATGTTTTCCCCTGACCACCAAACTAAAGATTCTCACCACTACTAGCCAGCCATATAATATCACCAGCATGTGCTATGCCACCAACCGCACAAATCTGCCAGGCAGGTATCTATTAAGCACTAATTATATATAAGATATCTATCTTTCTAATAGCATATGAGAACATCACGCTGGTCCACAATAGCACAGATAATATTACTATTACTAGCTATTAGTAAGAGACCTATTAATACTAATTAGAGCAGTATATGCATTGAAGTCTATAATAGTAAAGTAAGCACTTCTATTCCTTATAATGCTAATAATATTATATGAATTGGTTCTCCCTAATAGTATTATATTAGGCTGTTAACTTTACCATTCTTAAATCCTGCAACGGCTTGGATCAGGTGACACTTTAAATGCGAATTATCCTGATTGGCAGCCTGGAAATCATCCTTTTCTAGGACAAGGTTAAGGAGTGAGTGGGGGTGGCTGGTTCGGTGGGCGAGCGGCGTTCGTTGAATGCCGTTTCCGATTCCTGTCCCTCTTCCTGTTCCTCTTCCTGTTCCTCTTCCTGTTCCTGCCCATTTGTCTTCCTGTTCCACTTGGCTGAGATTGGCCAGAATGGAACCTATCGTGCGCTCTCCTCTGCCTTATGGAAATGCCTGTGCCACCTGTGCTCGTGCCAAGTGTCGTTGCGTCCCACGGAGTGGTGGCGGCCGCTGTGAAAGGTGAGTGGACCAACTCCGTATCTACGCAGTGGGATGGGAACCCGTTGGGCAATGTATTCGAGTCTGATATTATTCACAGATGCCATCGTTTGAACAAGGAATGCCGCGTTCCTCCGGGACGTCGCAAGGCCCAGCCCCAGGCCTTGTCCAGGTCGCTCCAGCTGGAACGGAAAATGGATGGTTTGATGTCGCTGCTGACCTCCTCCTCTGGCGGTCGGATGGATCTGCCAACGCCGGCTCGGGGGCAAGCTGAAGCGCAGGGGATGGGGCAAAATGAGGTCGAATCAGAAAGAGAAGATGACGAAACATTGGCAAGGGAAGAAGAGTCTCTGCATACTTTTCGAACTCAACGGCTGCAGTTCCTCCCCCTGATCCACATACCAGCCACAACAACCGCCCGTGATCTGAAACGACAGTCACCATTTCTGTGGCGTTGTATCACGGCTGTAGAAAGCAAGGATGCAGCACGTCAAGCAGCCTTGTGTGTAAGGATCCGGGAGCTGGCGGCGAAGCGGCTGCTGGTTGACTGCGACAAGTCCCTGGATCTATTGCAGGGAGTGTTGGTCTATCTTGCGTGGTATGGTGTTCTCACCTCTCATGGTGGTTGAATAACATGGGATTGCTGAAGTTCCCTCCCTTCCTCGCTTACTCTCGACCAGGGTCACGCTTCACAGCCAGCCGCAAAAGTCATCGCTCTGTATCTATTCCCAGATGGCGATCGGGCTAGTCGTCGAGCTGGGCCTTAACAAGCCCGCGCCTCCGGATCTTAGCATGACAGTCTCCAGCTCCAATGCCGTAGGCCATATGCCGGGGTTGAAAGCATCGATTTCGACTCGGCGCACGATGAATGAACGCCGGGCAGTATTGAGCTGCTTTGTGCTGACTTCGATGTAAGAGCCCATAGCTGGCAAAAGGGGATTGAGCGTCGAATTGACAGACCTGGTACAGAATCGCGCAGTTCCTGGGTCGAATGGATCCACTGCGATGGACCCCGCATATGAAGGAATGTCTTGATATCTTGGTGCACAGTGAAGAATCGTCTGGTGATGGGGTGCTAGTCCAGTTTACGCGCACCCGACTTCTCGCGGACCAGATCCTTCAAGGTCCCTGGAGTGAGGGCCTGTATGGCCTCAATGCGGCGCAAACCCTGGCCGCCTTCCATCTCAAGGCACTCCAGTCACGGTTGGAGACGATCAAGGCTGAGATCCCCATTCAACTGGCTGACAACAGTACGCAGATCCCCTGGCAATTGAAGATATTCCGTTTACAGCTACTTACTTGGCCGGTCTTAGAGCCCATTCTCTTTCATTTGTACGACACTGAGCTTAGTCTTTATGAGGTCGCCCTGGTGAAGCCCCTTGCAGACGAGGAATTCAGCCCCCAGCGACTCAATCACCTCTACGCCTGTCTCCACGTGGTGAAACGGTTTTTTAATCTATTCTTCACAATATCTCCAGCTGGATACACGTCCCTGGCGCTCCCTTATCTTACACAGGTGTCGCACTGCTTGGTGACCCTCTTCCGCCTATCGACCTTGAACTATCCCGGATGGGACAAGAGCGCGGTGAAAGGCACGGTGGACATACTTGTCATTGCGGAGCAGATTGCCTCGCGCATGGGACAGGTGGCCGATGCGGTTGGGATGCGCAGTCGGGGGGCGTATGGCGATCCGTTCAGTAAATTGGGGATGATGATGCAGAAGCTTAGGAGTGAGTGGGCAGTACAATTACCAGAGTGCCCGGAGGTGGTAACCGACCAAAGCTCAAGGGAACCTTTCTTGTCGAGCATGGAGATGGGTGATCTGGATAGCTTTATGAACTGGTCAGAGATGGTGTGGTTGATGGAAGGGGTTGGGACTGGGGGGTTCATATAATGCTGGTCAATGTTCATTGACATGATCTTTTCTTCTAGATGAAGCTAGGACTCCATTGATTTTCCATTGAATCTTTGAACTCCCATGATTGGTTAGTTTATTGTGAAATTGAAGGTACTATCTAAGGTATTGTACTAAAGTGTTGGCACAAGGTGGTATACTGTCAGACTATATTAATTGATATTCTTTAACATCAGGGGGTCACTAGACCACTGAGCCACTTGAATTGTCAAGACATTAAATGGGGCCCTATAGGGTCATATATTCCTGTGACATATCTAAATATTATACTGGAGAGACCCATCCTCTAATCATATCTTTAGATTCTGGTAGGTGGTAAAGCTGCATACTATACCTAAAGTCTACTATATACTTATTGAATTTTTATTGTAAATTAGACTATCATATATGTACTCTATTAAATATTAAATCATATCTATGTCCAGGTCGTGGATCTTGGTGATCAACATTGAAAAATATCCATGGATGTTGCCGCAGTCTATTGTTAATAGCTTTAATATTACACTCCTGACACCTCTTAGACTCTTTAAATGTATGTTTACACTGCTACGTGCCCGGCGGTGGTATGTGGTACACTTTATAGTGGTGATTTTTAATCTTTAATTTAAATTTTGCTGATTGCGCCTGTGTTAATTACAGTACTATAGCTCAATATATCCAAAGTAATCTGTTAATATTAAACATATCTACAAATTAAAACCACCTACCTAGGCAATTAACTTAGTAGATATTATTCTATGTGGATAAAGACTCATTTGAACTATTCTTATAATCTGATTAAATGAAATCAAATATCAGTCTATAGCCAACGGTTTCTTTGTCAACCGGCGAATTGGCACGGGAGGAGCGGCGTTCGGGGACGGCAGCATCCAACGCCGTGTTCCCCTTCCCATACTTAAAACAATTCAACGTCCACATCCTTCAGTCGGTCTACAGCGTTCAATTTAATACCAATCGAGAATATAGCAAAATTTTAGCATATATTATAGCCATCCAAGCGTCATCACGCCGCCGACATGAGCGAAGACAGCCAGCCACGTCTTGTGAAATCTGAACCCATCCCGTGGGACCATGATCAGAATGCAGAGAGCTCCAATGAAAGCAACGAGTACGAGCCAGAATGGGTGGAGGGAAGAGCGCTGGTGATGATGATTGCAGGTATCACGCTTGTCGTGTTTTTGATGCTGTTGGATATGTCGATTGTTTCGACGGTATGACCACCATTCAAATGCTCAAGAGATGAGATTTTGGACTGATGTAGCCAGGCCATTCCCAAAATCACCAATCAATTTAACTCGCTTGATGATGTTGCATGGTATGGGAGTGCATATACAATCTCTAGGTATGGTAGAATATAATGCATAATGCAAAATGCAAAATGGCTAATAACAGCTATCACTCTCTAGTGCCGCTCTCCAGCCGCTGACCGGGAAATTCTACACTAACTTCTCATCGAAATGGACATTCCTCTCCTTTTTTAGCATTTTCGAAGTGGGCTCCTTGATTTGTGGGGTAGCAAACTCTTCTAAAATGCTCATCGTCGGCCGCGCGATTGCAGGAATGGGATCATCGGGCATGATGAACGGGGCGTTGAATATCCTGGCCGGCGCAGTGCCGATCAAGAAGAGACCGGCGATGATTGGGATCATCATGGGGTGTAAGAAGCTCTTCAAAACTTGATATTTCCGCAGGGCTGACATTTCTTGCAGTTGGCCAACTGGGCTTAATTGGAGGGCCACTGGTTGGTGGTGCCTTTACGACTTACTCGACTTGGCGGTGGTGTAAGTGTCGCAACCTATGATGATATTATCCCCTCAAAAGGCACTAATGACTCCGTTTTTAGGCTTCTATATGAACCTCCCCATCGGGGCATTAGTTGGTGCCCTGCTCCTCTTCACACGCATCCCAGACCAAAAGCCAAAACAACCCGCCCGCGAGATCCTGCGTTCGGTCTTCCTGCAAAAATTCGACTTCATTGGGTTTTCGCTGTTCGCTCCGGCCTCGATCATGCTCCTTCTGGCCCTACAGTATGGTGGGAATGGCTCCTCATGGGACAGTGCGACAGTCATTGGCCTGTTCTGCGGGTCAGTCGCGACATTCGTGGTCTTTGCCTTGTGGGAACGGCATATGGGCATCGAGGCAATGATTCCGGGTCATTTAGTCTGCGACCAGATTGTGTTATCCAGCAGTCTACTATCTATGATGATCTTCGGGTTTACGATGACTCTCTCATACTACCTGCCCATGTACTTCCAGTCCGTTCGGGGCAAGTCCGCCTTGGTAAGCGGTGTCAACTTGTTGCCAAACATCCTATGCCAGTTGGTCATGGCCGTGACATCTGGGGTGTTGAGTGAGTGTCTCCCATATTCTCTTGTCTTCCTTGATATAGCTAATCAGTATTGATAGCCTCAAAGCTAGGTTACTATCTTCCTTGGGGAGTCCTCGGAGCTATTCTAGATGCCGTGGGTAACGGCCTCCTCTCTACCCTGTCACCTGCTACCTCAGTGCCCACCTGGGCCGGCTACGAATCACTGGTGGGATTCGGTCGAGGTGCCATCTCCCAAGTAGTGAGTTTTGCATCTTTTGCCCTCCTTCTTCAATATACTAATACCTATCCAGCCCATGATCGCCATCCAAAACGCGGTCAAAGCTGATGATATCTCCACTGCCATGGCCATGATGACCTGTGCCCAGACCTTTGGCGGTTCCATTTTCCTGGCCGTGGCGGAAGTCATATTCGCCCAGGGCCTTAGGACGAAGATTCCCGAGTACGCCCCCACTGTGAATGCCGAGGCAGTCATTCAGGCCGGGGCAACCGGATTTCGCCAAGTGGTGTCGGCGCAGGACCTGCCGGCAGTGTTGGCGGCGTATGCGAAGAGTATAGATCGGGTTTTCTCTTTGAATACCGCACTGTCCTGTGCGCAGTTTGTCTTCGCATGGGGAGTTGGATGGAGGAGTGTGAAGAAGGGGATGGAGGAGGACAAGGAGATGGATAAGAGCTAGTTAGTGATGAAGTAGGTATAAGGTTAGATTAGAGGATAAAGTTATTATATATATTATTTACTTAGGGTTTAGAGTTAGTATAAATATGGTAATCTTTTATTCTAAAAATTTGTTTTTTATCTTTCAGCAATCAATTATCTTCAAGTCTAATCTTAATATTATATCATCTATAGTAAGGATAAACAGTAAAAATTCAAATAATACTCTATTCTTATATATTTGTGTATTCTTTCTATATTCTAAGTCATAACATCAGCTTTAGGCTGTTGAAGTATAACTTGAATAGCTTAGAACTTAACGAATCTAAGCTAAAAGGCTGATATCAGGACCACAAAAGATTTTTGGCCCGCATGGACTGACAGAAATAATGAGCTGAATTACTACACCAGGGATGAATTTGGGGAGCCAAGTAGTCATTAATTACCATTACCCTATCATGAGCATGGAGTAGTGAGTCGCTTATCTTCGCAATCGGGACATCCAAACTCTAGATATGTGTTCCCTCAGATCAAAAGGCAGTATTCGATCCTGGAAGGAAATTGCATACACTGGGGTCATCCTATCCATATTCATGGCCTGCAATAAGCATGGAAAATAGTTTATACTCTTCTTCAATATATGTGTCCTGGTCTCAAGATAGTGATAGTGGTAGACACAGGTGCCAGTGTCATGCTATAATTGTGCTATAAAATAAATAGATGTAAATCTGACTGCATTCAAATCTGAGGTTAAGATGGTGGATAACTAGCATTTATTAGATATAGCTAGTCCCTTAGGTTCTTGAGAAAATAGAAAAGAGCAACAGCAACAGAGCTATAAAGTGCAAAAAGCAGGAGTTAAGTTATATGGCTAGTGATAACTTACTACTATATTTAACATGACTAAGTGATGTATATGACCATAAATATTGAAGGCTCTCCCCTATTGAAACATTAAACCACCACTAGCATTGATGACGCTTCCGGTAACCCATTTAGTGTCTTCACTAACAAGGAACCCAACTACCTGAGCAATATCCTCCACCTCAGCGACTCGAGGTGCGGCTGGGGTATTCTGGATAAGCGGATTCCATCGCGCTAGCACTTCAGGCTCCGTAATGCTTCGCTTCCATAGTTCTGTATTGACTGGACCAGGCCGAACACAGTTCACAATCGCATTGTACTTCTGACCAATTTCCCGGGAAAGCGATCTTGTGACAGCTTCCATAGCACCCTTGGCAGCAACGTAGGCCAGGCACCCCGCATGGCCATCCTGCGAATAGCTGCTGGACAGGTTGACAATTCGTGGAGCCTTGCCAAATGATGGCACGGCTTCCTTGACCAAGAAAACGGGGAACTGCAAGTTTGCCATCAGCTGCAATTGCCATACTTCAGGTGTCATATCCATAAAATCATAGTCTTCGCGAATTGCCGCATTGTTGACGATAATGTCAATGCAACCCCATTTCTCAACAGCTGCCTTAACAATGGCTGCAGGGGCACCAGGGTCGTTTGCCTGGGCTTGGATAACTATGGTCGACACCCCGTATATCTCTTCAAGCTCTTGTGCGAGATCTTGTGCCAGGATGGCTGAAGTACTGAATGTGATGAGGACGTTGGCCCCGCGGCTTGCAAGCTCCTTCGCAATTCCTCGGCCGATGCCGCACGAGGCGCCGGTTATAATCGCATTCTTCTTATCGAGTGGCTTCAAGGATGTCATTTTGAGTGGCGTGGTTGTGATGATGCTTTTGACGGCAATTGCGAATACATGAAATGTCCTTTTAATCGGCCGTGGAGAGGAACGCAATATCTCTAGAGAAATATTTCTTTATCTTTGTATACCAAAAAGGATTACCCTTCTATACCTTTATGGCCTCGGAAGCTCAACAACCCATTGAAGATATACTAAGTAATGATTCTGGCAATTTCAATCGGAAGCCTTGCCGTGAGGGGGCCATGATCCTGCAACCGATAACTAGGCGCTGCGGGGTAGACATGTATGACTTCACTTTTGGGCATTATTATTCGCAAATGACGGGCTCTAATGAGGCCCTAGCATTCCTGAGCTTCGTATCACCTTATCTACCTAGTAAGTAAGAAAGGATGAGTCACAGATGTATTATCAGGAACTACTAAGAATAGCATATTCCATCGGTACCTCTCCCGATAGGCATACCTTTTCCTATGCATTGACTGAATTATATGTATTTATATTCAAATGAGGTCTCAAGCTTGGTGAGACCTCATACGCCAAATCACAAAATCCAGCCACTCACTGAACCTTATTTTTGAGATGCGTGTCATTTCCATTGTTGGCTGTCATTGCGCAGGTGAGGTCGGCGACGTGATCGTTGGCGGTGTTTTGGATCCCCCCGGGTGCAAGACTATGTACGACAAGCTCATTTATTTTCGAGACGAGGCCGATGAGATAATACAGCTTCTGCTGCAAGAGCCTCGAGGACACCCGGCCATGGCTGTGAACCTTGTCCTCCCACCATGTGATCCCAGAGCCGATGCCGGATTCATTATCATGGAGAGCGACGAGTATGTGCCCATGTCAGGAGAAAACACAATTTGCACCTCGACAGTGCTTCTGGAGACGGGAATGATCAAGATGAAGGAACCCATCACCAAGGTTCAACTGGACTCAGCCGCCGGGCTGGTTGGGATCACGGCGGAGTGTGAGAATGGAAAATGCAAGTCCATTTCGTTCGACAATGTGCCTGCATTTGTCTTCGCTCTTGACCACAAGGTTGATGTTCCCGGTCTGGGAAGTGTGTCTGTGGATATTGCATGGGGGGGTATGATTTACGCCATCATGGACGTGTCACAAGTCGGTCTTAGAATCAGCAATGAGCATGGCCCCAAGCTTATCGAGATCAGTGAAAAGATCAAGCAGGCTCTACGCCGCACTTACAACCCAGTTCACCCAGAAAACCCCGACATTAAAGGTGTGGCCAACTTTGAATTCATTGAGCCTGTGGAGCGTGGAGTGGACGGCAAGCTCACAGCTGTCAACACTGTGGTTGTTTCGCCTGGTCGCCTTGACCGTTGCCCCTGTGGCACTGGGAGCTGCGCCCGAATGGCTGTGATGCACGCGAGGGGCGAGCTGAACGTCAGGGAGGTCTTTGAACACAAGAGCATCATCGGCAGCAGCTTTGAGTGCCACATTACTGGGACTACTCGGGTTGGAGAGTACAATGCTGTTTACCCTACAGTCAAGGGTAGTGCCTGGGTGACCGGATACAAGCATACCATACTGCATCCCACTGATCCTTTCCCTACTGGCTTCCGTGTCGGCGATCAGTGGCACATGCCTCAGGAATGATGAAGCTTCATGAGGTGTATGTACTCTTTTTATGCAGATATATACCAACAATAGTTACAGAATTGAACTCAATTTCCTCACCAATCCCCAAGTTTCCAGTATCCACATCTTTGGTGGACGGTATGGACTCTTTAAAAGCTAAAGAGCAATGCATATCACTATTTCCCTAAATTTCCTTGCTTTCTTTCACCTTTTGGACTTCAGTCCATGCTTTCTTGAAGACTTTTCGCTGTTGGGAAAGTATAAGCATTGCTGCACAGCTACCTCCTGGGTCAAAGAATTCTGAACCTCAGATATATGCGCCTAAAGGTCGATTTATATGAAATTGGCCTTGAACAAATATAACCAGGATAGTGTCATTGAAGAAAGTTTTTTTCTTTTACTGTCTTCCAAGATGCTTACGTATAATAGTTCTAGACAAGCACCATCTTGATAGCTTGGAAATAGTATATGAGAAGACCCAAGTATTGTTGACTTTAGCCCAGTCTGAAAATAATATGACTGCAGTTTTTGGCTTAGCAAACTCAATGCTGTCAAGTGAGATTCTCCATCAATAGCCAGAAAGATTGCACCGGCTCTTCATTTTTACTTTTAGGGTTTAGGGTTAATTTTAGGCATCATTCGCATCTCTTTGTGGCAGGATGGGTTGTGTATTGCCTCTAAATCAACATAGAGTATGCATCTCACAGTGAAAGCTATATTATATACATGAGCCGGCTATTCTTGCGGATCTGCAGACACCATCTAATTAATTAGCTAGTTAAAGAGTATTACTCCTTGAAATTACAATTAATAAAAGAACTATAACAATTTAAATTAATAGAATCTACTTAGTATAAACTAATAATAGTAGATATCCATGTACTCTGTATATGTGTATGCTGATTGATTTACATTCAGGAAAAGAGTACTTCAATGATATCTTTTTGATCTGTATTTTAATTAATAATACATATGAGCAATAACTATTTTTAAGAAGGTTAGTTGGACTACATACTGGTCAGTCAACTCCCTAGTATAGGGCCTGGAATACTGGCACATTGGGGAGACCCAGGTGCAGTTCTGAAATTTAGTCAAACAAATAGTGATAGGAGTGAGAACTTTAAGAATAAGTAATAAGATTTTGATAGGGAGGTAGAAGTGTAGTGCACCAGTGACTCTAAGGTCTAGTAAAGCCCTTACTTCCCTATTTTATCATCAATTCTTTAGTAGTTTAGCATAGGTGGGTTAGAGTAGGGGAGTATTACGAATCAATGTTTTCAAGGTTATGCAATTTTCCTTTTATGCTCCAGAGTCACCTAAAATAGAAAAGGTGGAGCAAGGCACCAGTTGAGCTGCCTTAGTATCTCCCTTGGTCATTGAGGGATCTCTTCTTTGTGTGTAAATCTTAGGGTTGTGGATTGGTAAGAGGCTCCTATCACTCCGATTCCTAATCGGGACGGCTCCGGAAGCTCCCGTCCAAATTTGGAATAGCGTCACAAAGGGCCAAGTATGTTTCCTCTTACGGAATTGCTCCTCCAGCTCCGACTCCCGTGGTCCTACTATGGCTTAGATATTGATAGGAGATTTTCAAATTGTTCAGTCTCCTGGATTCCGGCAGTATGATTGGTAATCCAGGGGGTGTCGATTTCGCAATTCGGCTATACTGACGGCCAGTATCAAAGGCAACTTTGTGGTCGATATAAGATAGTTCCCTCCACTGCGGCACTAGAACTGCACTTCAACAGCGACAATTTTCTCAGACTATGGCAGAGAATGAGGAGAAGTCTACAGCGATGGCTGCTCCCGAATTGGTTGGAAATCTTGTCGGCGAATTCGTCACAGCGTGCCAGTCGTCGGTGCGAGATAAGGACAATTTCATTGTTTGGGATCATCTGGAGGTGGAAGGCAGTGGTCAAGGGGTAAGAATGGAGGACTTCAATAATTTTCAACATCAATTAGCTGAACATACGGTCTCTTGAGCAGCATGCACTCGCTCCTACGGTTGGATCGATGTTCGAACGATACGCGCGCGGAGCGATGTCATTGTTTAGCAATGGAAGTGAACCGTCTCGCAGAATCCTCCACGATTTCAACGGGATTACAAAGGCTGGAGATCTTCTGATGGTTATCGGTCGACCTGGCAGCGGTTGCACAACATTTTTGAAGAGCTTGTGCCATATGCATGCCGAGTATAAAAGCACCAGCGGAAATCTACTGTATGGTGGCATCAAGGCAAATTTCAAGGACCCTAAAGCTCCAGTGGAAGCAACCTTCTGCGGTATGAGTTGAAACTTGTTGCCTGATGGGGGAGCTTTCGCTGACGGCAGAGCGGCGTCTTTGTAGCGGAGGAGGACATCCATTTCCCAAGCTTGACAGTTGAGGAAACCCTGAGGTTCGTCTAGGACAATCAGTTTTTGAAAAGAGATCGACTTGCTTCCTAAATACTAACCACCATATGCTCTCAGATTTGCTGTGAACTCTCGTTTTAGCAACGTCATGTCCTCCGCAGAAGTAGGGAAGACCGTGCTCAACCTTGCCCGTTTGTTCGGGATCAATCATGTTTTGGCGACCAGAGTCGGCAGTGAGCAAATGAGAGGCGTGAGTGGTGGAGAGAGGAAACGAGTATCTCTAGCTGAAGCTCTAGTGACATGCCCTGAGTGAGTCTTTCTGAAGGTGAAAACAATGTTGACAAATGCATGTAACATTTACTGATGTCTAACGATGCTAGCCTGATTTGCTATGACAATCCTACCGCCGGCCTTGATTCCTCAACCGCCCTTGAATTCATGCATATGATGCGTGAATATGCCATCCAATCTTATTGCACTGTGGCCATGAGTCTGTACCAGGCCAGTGATGAAATGGTTCCTTTATTTGACAAAGTGCTTGTCATTAATTCTGGACGCTGTGTCTACTACGGTGGCATGGTCTCAGCCAAGTCCTATTTTGAGACCCTAGGTTTCTACTGTCCACCAACGATGTCGATTACCGACTTCTTGAATTCGATGTCTGCAGACCCTGAAGCCCGCCAGTTGCACCGTGAAGCAGACCCTTGGTCAGTCCCGCAAACCCCGGATGAGCTTGCAAATGCATTCTTGACAAGCGAGATGTCGAAACAGCTCAGAGTGCAGATCGACAAAGCAACCAGTGGCGCAAGCAACATGGAGAAGACCCCTAATGGACGGACAAAACCACGACAGGCATACTCGATCCCCATTCTCAGACAGATTCTGCTATGTGCGTATCGCCAGTATCGCATATTCATCACAGACTACAACGCCTGGGTGGTCGAAGCAGCCTGCATGGTGGTCCAGAGTATCATCCTCGGTACAATCTTCCGCAACCTCCCACATGAAACCTCGTCACTGTACCAGCTAGGGTCGGTTGTTTTCTACGCGATCCTGGTGCCTGGGCTTCAGTCAATGAGCGAATTTGGCAATACTTTTGCACAAAGACCCTTGCTGCTGAAGCATAAGCGATACCGCTTCTACCACCCAATGTCGTATGGATATGGTCAGATCCTTTCGGATGTTGCGTGGAAAGTGGTGATTATTGCATACAACATCCCGATGTATTTCCTTGCCGGGCTTCATCGCACGGCAGGCCATTTCTTCATTTTCTTCTTCGTGGCCTATATCTCCCATTTATCGCTTTCCATGTTCTTTCGATTCCTCGCTGTCATGTCACCCTCTGTGGAACGCGCGGGTCTTCCCGTGGGCATCTTCTTGACAACGCTGGTCATCTATGCGGGCTGGTATGTTCCACCTCCGCAGATGCAAGTCTGGTTGAAGTGGTTCCGGTTTCTGAATGTGAGTTTCAAGAATAAGCCCTAGTTGAGTGTACGTGCTAATGCAAGATATCCTCTATCAACAGCCAATGTACTACGCATTTGAAGCGCTTATGATCAATGAAGTCGGAGGTGCTGCGTATGAGTGTAGCTCCTCCGACCTCATTCCTCGTGGCCAGAATTACACCGATATGGCATACCGGGCTTGTGCCATCTCAGGCTCTGAGCCGGGGAAGAGTGTTGTTCAAGGTGCTTCATATCTACGAAACTACTACGACTTCGACAATTCGCACCTCTGGCGGAATGTCAGCATTAATGTGGGATTTTTCGTCTTTTTCGCCATCATAGTCGGGTGAGTAACCCACAAAGCCATCAAGACTCCATCTTCCTTGCTAATGAAATTGAATCTAGTCTAGCAATGGAGCAATTCAAGCCCCCCGCAGGTCTCCTTGCCACAGTATTCTATCGTCAGAATGCCATGCGTGTCGTTTCTCCATCGACCAATAGCACCCAGAATGATCTTGAAGCTCAAGGGTCTCCCAAGCCGGCAAGAAAGATACCGGAATCGGAAATTATTCAACCTCATGGTGGTCACTCATTCGCCTGGAAGGATCTCCATCTCACTCTTCGCAAAAACGGAGAGGAGCGAACCCTGCTACAGCATATTGACGGTAAGCAATACAAATCACTACATGTCAATTGGAAATGAACTGACATAACCGTAATCCAGGTTACATTGAGTCTGGAACATTGACAGCGTTAATGGGTGTCTCTGGGGCTGGCAAGGTTCGTCTTTTTCTATGGCACATCATCCCATACAAGAATGCTAATAGAGCCCACAGACAACAATGCTCAATGTCTTAGCTGGACGACTGGACTTTGGTAAATTGAGCGGGACACTCTATCTAGATGGATCCCCCCTTCCCAAATCATTCCGCTGGAGAATGGGTTACGTTCAACAGCAAGATGTTCATCTTCCTTCCCAAACGGTGCGAGAAGCTCTCAGAATGACGGCCCGGCTCCGTCGACCACCCTCGCTTTCAACAGAAGAGAAAGATGCATACGTCGAGCAGGTTCTCGATATGCTCGGAATGCAAGATATCTCGGAAGCGCTGATCGGAGTGCCCGGCGCAGGCCTCAACCTCGAACAGCGAAAGCGCGTCTCCATGGGTATTGAACTGGCAGCAAAGCCAGACATCTTATTCTTGGACGAACCGACATCTGGACTGGATGGACAGGCTGCTATATCTTTGATCCATCTGCTGAAGAAACTATCGCGATCGGGCCAGACGATTCTCTGCACTATCCACCAGCCTGCCGCAGCCATGCTTGAGGTTTTTGACAATCTGCTCCTTCTGGCCAAAGGTGGTCGAGTGATTTATGCCGGACCTTTGGGCGACCATTGTGCCACAGCATTGAACTATGTCAGTCAGTACACGGAACCTTGCGACTCCAAGCGAAACCCGGCGGAGTACTTGCTAGACGTCGTTGGCGCTGGTTCACGGTCAACTGTTACAGCGGACTGGGCTCAAATCTGGTCTGCAAGCAGCGAGCGTCGCGTTGAGGATTCAAAACTGCAAGGCCTTAGGGATGAGATCTCTATGGAAGAAGTACCTCGTTCCCAGCTCTATGCCACTTCCCTTCCCCATCAACTTTCGGTTGTGCTTCATCGTACCTGGTTATGGTACTGGCGTGAGCCGCAGTATTTTTCTGCCAAACTTTGGCTAAGTATAGCCAATGGCCTCGTCAATGGTTTGACATTCTTGAACATCCCCAACACTCAGCAAGGGGCATTTGACCGGGTGTACTCGGTCTTCTTGTCTTTTTTAATGGGCCCGCCTCTTGGCTTGTTTATGGAGCCACGATTTACCACCCTCCGTGACATCTTCATGTATCGGGAGAAGGCCAGTCGAGCATACCACTGGTCGGTTTTTATTGTGAGCTTGATCATCGTTGAACTGCCTTTCACCCTCGTCACTGCTCTCATATATTGGCTCTTGTGGTATTTCCCGGCTGGGCTGCAGTCTGATCCCTCTCATGCCGGTTATGCACTGTTGTGCTACTGGCTGTTCTCAATCTTTACCATGAGTGTGGCATATCTGATTGCCGCCTGGATGCCCAACTTGAATGCCTCTCTCATGGCAAACGGCTTTTTCTTCATGTTTATAAATACGTTTGCCGGGACCTTGACAGCACGCGAGCTTACACCAGCAGGCTGGAGTTGGTACTTCAATGTCTCTCCACTGTACTATCTTGCCGAGGGTCTTACTACCAATTCCCTCTATGGACATGAGATCCGTTGTGCATCGAATGAGGTGACTTTCTTCAACGCACCTGCAAACGACACTTGCATCAGCTATGCTGGGTCATTCTTACAGTCTACCACAGGTTATCTGGTCAATCCAGATGCCACGGGGGCGTGCGATTATTGTCGCTATGCAAATGGCCAGGAATATGTAAGTTTACTCTCATCACTATTGATTAAGAACATTGATTAATCCTCACCTAATAGTACCAACAATTTGGATATGATAACAGTCGTAAGTATCGCGATATCGGGATCTTGATTGGGTTCATCTCATTCAACTTTACGGCCGTCATCCTCGGTACCTACTTGACCAAGATCTACAAATGGAAGCGCGTGGCTCATTGATTGCCATCATAAGAAGACTTACTAAGTACAGGCCAACGTAAATACTCTTGACTAATTCCAAATAGTCCTGACAGTGACATAAGTCGCGAGTCATCTCAGCAAAATAGCTCATTTGTTATTACCCTTTACCATTCTCTCTTCTCCTCAATCTGGTAGAGGTCCAATCGGCTTTGCGGGTTAGGGTTAGGGTTAGGGTTTAATGCCCGTGTTCTTATGAATTCTTTCACCCTCACCTTTGACTATCTAAAGCTTTTCATTATCATTCCTTAGCCAATTTTGGGCTGTTAAACTGTCATATTTTGCGTGTTCTTTGTTACTCGGAGTTTACTGGGCTCGGTCAGGCTCTAGTACAGGAGATCCTGAAGCAAGGTGACTATGTAAACCCTGATAAGCCTCCAGGTTTCAGATTGAAAAACCTACACCGACCAATTTCCCGTTCATTCACCTCAATTTCTAGATTAAAAGCGTATTGTCCGCATTTCTTACCAGTGTAGCCAACCTTGGCCGTATTGATAGCCCAGAGCCATCAATCACATAATATCTTAGTAAGGTCTCCTGGCCACTCTGGATTGGAGGAATTCCTTCCTTTCCACAATTAATAATTCAAGCACCAGCTGCATCTCCTTCTTCTCCCCTCTTCACAGCCATATTTGTTCCGCCGAGCTTTTTGGCCTGATATCCATGTTCGGTTCGTTCTCCACGCTCGAGAACATCTCCAATGCGGCTCCCAGGCCCAAGCGACGACAGGTTCTGCGGGCCTGCGACGCGTGCCGTATCAAGCGTTGCAAATGCGACGATTCCATGCCCTGTTCCACCTGCGTCAGCCGAGGCTGGGCCTGCTCTCGGAGTCACTCCAGCTTGCAACCAACCAGCTTATCGTCGGCATTGATGTATGTTCATTCTGATTGTTGCCGCAATTGAAAAATCCGCTCTCCTGACTTTCGATAGCCAAATTTCGGCCCTCCAAGAACGCATCCGAGACTTGGAATCGCGCCCAAGGATCGAAGATCTGGCCGAATGGAGCCATACAAGCAAAAGACGGAAGTCCTTGTGGGCAAAAGATAGGTTATTGGATAACGGATCCTACTCTGGGCCGCTGTCAACCGCTTACTTCGTCGCTTGCATCAAAAAATACCTGGATTCACATCCCGATAAGACACCATTTGGGCCTACGTTCTCTTACCAGTCACTGCCCATAAATTGTCGCCAGCCACGCAAGATACAAGATGCAGATCTGCCTTGCTCTCAGAATACAGAACCACCCGCCAACTCTGAAATCCTCCCCAAGGCTCGACAGACCCAGTACATTCACCAATTCTGGTACCTGTATCATCCATTACTACCGATCCTATGCGAAAAAGACTTTACTGAAGAGTTCGCGTCATTATGGAAGATGGATGTGACCATGCAGAGGTCTTCATCAGCCTTGACGGATATCATCATCGCCAATTGCGCACTGGCTCAGTCGTCACAGTCGAATCAGCCGATGGTGCAAGGAGGCCAGTCGTGGACTCATGACGATATATCAGTCTGGCATTATCGTCGCTGCAAACGATTTCTGGATGATGAGCTGGAGACTCCGACGCTGAGCACCCTGCAGAGTTCTATCCTAGTCTCTGTCTACTTGTACAACGCGGCCCATCCATCTGCCGCATACAATGCTCTGGGGACTGCCGTACGCATTGCGTATAGCCTCGGTCTTCATCGTGATCCGCCTCCCGTGCTGAGCATCACTAAACAGGAGCTTCGGAGGCGCATCTGGTGGAGTCTGTACATCCTTGACAGCAGGCTGTCTCTCGAGCTGGGCCGGCCCGCTCTCGTCACTCTGTACGAGAGCGACTGTCGGTTACCCGCCGACGATATCCAAACCGCACGAGCTGCATGTTTAAAGACATTTGCATCTACCGCCGAGGTGACATGGCTCACCTATACAGTACAGCTCGCAAAACTTCTGACTATTGTGCGGTCGATTGTTGTGGATGTATACGAAGAAAACATCCACGAAGAACCCGAATCCGATTCGCCAGAGAGCGAGCAACGGCTGTTGGATGGAAGAGAGTCTGCATCCAAAACACTCCAAACCCATTTGACTCGTCTTCAGGCCTGGGTCGAAGCTCTCCCTGGCGATCTTTGTCTGTCTCGGAGCGGCAGTGAGCCCATACCGTCCCCCGAGTCCTTCAGCATTGAGTTGGACTTTTACGCCCCCAAATGGCTACAACTTCAGCGAGTATTTCTTCAGCTTCTCTTCCACGATGCGTTCGTATCCCTGATTCGCCCTATGTCTTTCCTTGGGAGAGATGGTGTCGCCGACGAGCTGATGCAGCATCTTCACGGTCACACCAATGCGATCATTCGAGCATGCCAGCAGCTATATTCAGAAACAGATATTTGGACTCATCATCCGGAACTTTCTTCTATCCTGTGGAGTGCGACTGTTACCAATTTCAGCAGACTTCTTTCTGTAACAGAGGAAAGTGAGGCTTTCTCCTGCCTGGCAATTGTCGTTGAGATGTTCCAAACTCTAGATTCAGTCGACCCAAGTGCCATACTGGCACTGACCAATGTGCGTAGGGTTCCATTTGCTGGTCAATGGGCATCCGAATCTTTACGAACCGTTGCGAACGGAGTGGCTCAGGAATCGCAATCCATCAATGACGAGGTGAATCCTCTTGGAATTGTGCCTTCAATACTAACGGACGGACATGATGCCTCCGAGACTGGGTCACCACTACCAATCCTTGACTGGGCTCACCCCAACCCAGGAATAGATCCTAGTCTATGGATGAACGATATTACATGGCTACAGGGATGATTTTTCATCCTTCCATTATTAAATTGACAGCTTACTATTGTCATATCTTATTCATCATTTGTCCTGAACAATTTCTGGCAACTGGCAACTTTCTTATTCCAGTTACTACTCACTCTCATTGCTTTTTAAACAATTATACACCATGTAATCTTGAACCTCATCAAGTGACATCAAAAACCTCTTTTTATGTAGTATACTCCATATAATACTATCCCCCACCATGTCGGCTCTAATAGCCTCGTCGCCATGAACGCCACCCCCTCATGCCAGCTGAAAGATCCCTCAATTGCTTGGCGACAATAAACTGAGCCGCAGTGGGTCGACCATGCAGCTTGCCACTTTTCGCCGTCGGCATTTATTGCCCATTTGCAGACATTTAGACAAGGCGTCAACTGTGGTGGCAGTGAGAGAGTTTGTTATCCGAGATGCATGTTTAGTGCCTGTCGACTGGATATATAGGCGTAGCTATTGTACTAGTAGGGAAACGAACAGTTAATCATCTGTCCTCATCATAAGTAATAGCTGAAATTATGCCTGTTTCTGGCCGCGCGGCACCTCGCACTGGAAAGTCCGGTGTGCTGGTGAACGACCACTCCAGCAGCAATGTGAGTCAGGAGGAGCAGCAGCAGCGTGCTGAAGAGGCGTCAGAGGAAGAGAAGAGAAAAGAGGCGGAGGCGACGCAGAAACGTCTCGAGGCCGACCTGGAGAAATTGCAGGGTGAGAATACAGCGCTCGATACTGCCAAGCAGGGACTTGAAGCGCAGCTCGGCACGCTTTCGGCTGCCAACGCCCAGCTGGAGAAGGACAAGGCGGGGTTGGAAAGGAATATCGGCAATCTGAACCGCACGGTGGACGATCTCAAGGCGCAGATCGGCACTCACGAAAACACCATCGCCGATCTACAGCGCCAGATCAGAGAGGCAACCACTCTCAACGATGATAACAACCTCAACCCGGAATACCACGGCAAGGTTGTGCGACTCGTTGTTCCGAACACTGACCTGGTGGCCACCATGATAAGTCAGTATCAAGCTATTCATCGGGGTGTATGGTATACGACGATGCTAATGGCCAGATCCCGTCATATTCGCCCGCATCAACAGCTCAGAGGCCGAGTTTGTCGTCCTCCACAAGGTGCATCCCTGGGACCGCAAGTCTGCCTGGACGATCAGCCGCAACGGCACAGAATACCTGGGAGATTCTTTCCATACGAATGGCGGTGCGCTCGTGTTCCCCACCAGCAGAGGATCGGGAGACGAGGCGAGAAGTCGTGAGTGGCTCATTGCCCAGCGGCCAGGCGACCCGAATGGATTCATGTATGTGAATGCGAAACTTTGTGGTGGATTTTATCCATGTACTAATGCCCTTCAGTATCAAGAATTGCAAGGAAGGAAAGGTTTTGCAGAAGCAGGCAGGTGTTTCCGTGAATCTGGGTGTGGCGAGAATGTATGTTTACCTCGAGTGTCAAAGGTTACAGGCTGATCTGACTGACTCTGTAGTGATGCGACCTGTCTAATCCTAGCGGATGCTAATAATTCGGCGGACCAGGTCTTCAACCTTTTGGTTAAAGGTTAATGATGTGCAGTCGAGTTTAGATACTTATTTCATTCTGGAATTCATATTTAAAGTACTATCTTAGTTTAAACAGGAAAACATAATACATGAACAAACATGTGTACCTATACTTGAGTCTTTTGGGCCTCTCCCCCCCAATTCCTCAGGACAGCATTATTACTCTGGCCAGCTGTATAAGGAGGCAATTTGCTTCCAGACAATGCGTGTGATGAACTGGATAAGTTGTTCAATAATCGACGGTTGATCGGTTTCCGGCGGTTGGAGATTTTACCCGCCAAATCTGTTGTTTCTGGCTGGTTTTCGACGTCTTCAATCTCGAGCGGATCCGGCTGCGTGGGATTAACCACCCCAATAGCCTCGTGGTGGCCTTTGGTCTGGTCTGGCTGTGTTTGACCAACCCCTGGATGAGGTTGATTAGCCCCAATGGCGGCACCGTAGATGGGGGTCTGTTTTGGCTGGGTTTGACCAACAGCCTCAACAGCTGGATTGTGGCCACTGGTCTGGTCTGCCAGGATTTCCAACGCCAAACGATCTGGATCCTTGGAATCCTTGGACTTTTTGGACTCTTTGGATTCCTTGGAACCTTTGGATTTCTGAACAAGCTCAATCTCCTGTTCCAGCGCGGCAAGATACGCGGCTTTCTCTTGAGCCGGCATCTGAGACATGGCCTTCTTGGCTGCCTCGCGCTCCGCTGCTTGAAGCCTCAAGAGCCGGTCAGCTCCAGATCCGCCGATCTTCCTCACCTCCCCCTCGGGTAGGAAGAAACGCAGCAGATGGCCGAAATTCTGCTTGACGGCGCGGTTGAAGAGGCGTGCAAAGAACTGGGCCACGGCGCCGGCCGTTTTGTGCTCATCGGGGACGGCTTCGCTGATTGTATCAATGGCTGCATCGGCCAGGTCGAACGTGACGGCGCCAGTGAAGCGGTGCTGGAACATGCGCGGCAGCGGAATGGTAGAGACGATTGCCGGGTGGTAGACGATCCAGCGTCGCCATTTGTATTGGGGGTTGCCATTCCACTCGATGGTCTGGTTTTGGCCGTACTGGAAGTTCTGGTCGAGTCGCATCGTGATCCAGCCTTCTTCCTCTTCTCGTTGCTCTTCTTCGTTTTCTTCCTCCACTCCCTCACCATCCTTGCCCTTCTCTTCGCTCCCTTTCTTCTCCTCATTCTCGTCAATTTCTTCAACCTCGAGAGATTCATCCCCATGTTTCTTCCTTTGCACACCATCGGTCGACTGGTGACCGCGTAGACTGCGGAGATGGAAGTTCTTCAACGGTCCTCCTGTAAACTGAGGCTCCACAAACTCTGCCGCAATGAAAATCTTGCTTTCTCCTGGCAGGCGTTAGCTATCTTGTCAATATCTCCTTGATCGACCTCTCACCTTCAACGCTGTCTAGCTCTCTATCTCGACAGACCACAGGCAGGCTGGACGATGCACCAGACAGCACATCCACACCGTTCATCTCCCCCCAATAACACTTGGTCACATAGTATGTGTTGCTGCGGGCGGTGGTGCCCTCCGACCAGGACACAACCACCTTGGCCTTGGGACTGATGGGGAAGGTCACCCATTGTGAGCTGGTGGGCACAACGAACGCCATTACGGGAGTTTGGCAATGAAGCGCAACAGCAGCTAACAGCTAAGAGTCTAGATTCTTATTATTGTCTCGATTGATTGCTTCGGCAGGAATTGCCTGACATAAGAAACCCCCGGCACAAACTGCCCGATGCAGTGCCAAGCCCACGTGCCAAGCCTTCTGCAGTAGCGCGGCCCCGCGGCCCCGCGGCCCCACATACCGCCCGATGAACGCCACCGCCCCGCCTTTTATGCAGCAGCAGCCGAAGGCCATGCGGCATTCATGCTTTTACGAGTCTGGCGTACTCGGTAAGCCTCCGGAAAGGGGCCAGAAGCAGCTGTACTACCACCCCCGATCGACAAAGTGCAGCACACGCCGGCAAGGCCAGACGGTGGCCATCGGCTAGCCCCAGCCCGCCCAGTCGCCCCCGCAGTTCTTGATCGAGCGTTGCCACCTTTGCGAGCTGTGCGGCCGTCGTCTGTTGCAGCTGGAGCTGGGCGTCGCCCCCGAGCCCACGAAGGGTATAGGCCGGCAGCGAGGGGGCGAGCGTGTTGTATCCGCAGAAGGTCATGAGGGAAGAGGAGCTGGTAGACGATGAGGTCTCGGTGGTGCTGACGCTCTCGCTGGCAAAGAGCGCCTTGACGGTGACAGTCAGGGTGACGCGCTCCTCCAGCGACGACGACTCGACCGATGCCGACAGACAGGCTCCTGCATCGGCGCCGAGCTCGTACGCGCAGACATAGTAATCGCCGTACAGTTCGCGGAAGCGCGTCTCCCCCCGCGGGCCCTGCAGAAGCGCCACGGCGTGCACTGAAAGCGGGGGAACAGTGTCGAGGATAACCCGCCCGACGCGGTAGCTGGAGTGGCGCGACGCCTGGACGCCGTTCTCGTTGTTTTGGACCGTGCGGTCGTACTCGGCGCTGACCGAGGCGCTGAGGAAGGGACAGCCGACGGTGAGGCCGAGACTGGCGCTCAAGTGTTCGTGGCTGGAGCTGGCGTGGGTGCTGAATCCGTCGCGAAAACTTGCCGTCCACGAGCCGGTCTCTGGTAAAAGCGTGGTGAGACTCGCCTCGGAGAGATCGAACGGTGAGGAGAGCAGCCAGGGCCCGCGCGTGGCGTCTTCGACCCGGCTGGACTCGAAGCCTGTCAGGGGCATTTTGACTTGGTTGGACCAGGGGAGGCCAAAGGCGTGGCCATCGCGGGCCAGGTCTTGCAGGCGTGGCCGAGTGGGGTCCATTGTCGAGTGGTTATTATCACTAAACCATCAAAAGTGAGTCGGGGCTGTGGGATGATATATCTGGAGGTTAAAGGAGCATCGGCTATATTGACCGGTTTACCTGAAACAGTATAATACTGATACGAAATATAAGGAAACGGAATCGACCACCACCACCACCCGGCGTCCTCTTTACCCGCATAACCATGGCGCAATTGCTTGCTCCCTACCACAATGGCATGCGCCTCGGGCAGGGCTTCAATTCGTACACGCAGCAGATCTGTCTGGACAAGGCCGTGCTGCCCGAAGCGAGCCCGGAGGCCAAGGCAGTCCGAGAGAAACTGATCCTATCCAAGGGCGGGCAGCCAGCGAACGAGCTCACGGCTGGACAAGTTGCGACAACGGACATTGATCTAGTGCGTCAGGAGGACCTCAAGCCAAAGGAGAAGACAGTCGAGGTTTACCCATGGGTGAAGCCGCAGATCGTGACATATTCGTCGCGGTTTGTCGATAAGATCAGCGATGTGACTGGTATGTCCAGCATTCTGCAATCTATTCTGTTGTCTGCTAAGCTCATAGATGCAATGAACATCTCCGGCTCGCTGTCGATCAAGACGGCGACCATCGGCGGCAAGGCGAACGGATCGTACGTGGATAGCGACAAGTTCAAGTCGAGCGACATCAACTTCCATCTGCAGGTCAAAGTGACCAACCAGGTGCATGAGCCGGAGCTGTACTCCATCTTCAATCCCATCGAAGGGCTGGATGATTCCAAATTCACCGATGTTTACGGGGTATGTCCATCCTGATAAACCCTAGGGTTGGTAACCCTAGGGTTACCTAGGGTTGTAGGGTTAGGCTAACAGTATAGGATACGTTTATCTCGGGCTGGGAGCTGGGCGGCGAGCTGAACGCCATCATCTCAATGAAGGTCAATGACAAGTCCAAGATCTTCGACATCAAGGCCCACCTGGAGGCGGAGCTGAGCACGGCGTCCATCGGAGGCAAGGTCGAGGCCAACGCCGACATCACGAAAGAGAGCCTGAGCCGCGACACCGAGACCACCATCGCCGTCAACTGGTCAGGCGGCGGCAGCATCAAAGATCCCGGCGATGACTGGACCTTCGGCGTGCTCAAGGGCGCCGCCGCTGCGTTTCCGGACCTGGTCGCCATCACGCCGCAGCGGACATACGCCATCCTCACCAAATACACGGCGCTCAAGGACTTTTACACGCACTACCGGCAGTACTCGCCGCTGGACTATGAGAACGCAGGCATCTACACCAGCTCCATGCTGGACTCGTACATGGAGTACAAGTCGCTCTGGAAGCAAATCTCGTTTGCCACCGCCGAGCTGGAGGGGAACCGCGCGACCATCGAGTTCGGACAGCCCAGCGAGGAGATCCACCAACTGGCGTTGGTGAAGCCTTTGCCACCAGTGCCGGAGAAGAAGGAGAAGAAGATGATCACAGCAGGGGAGGAAGCAGAAAAAGAACCCCAGCTACAACTCATCCAGGCCGCGGCTCCCATCCCAACCACCCCCGACCCGGATCCCGTCCAGGTCCCGATCTTCCAGGCCTCCTTTGCAGGCTTGATCGCAGCGCGCAAGACCTGCCGCTTCGAGATGGCCAAGATCGTCAACGAGGTGGATGCCGTGGCGCGGAATCCCAAGGTCGCCGCCGATCCCGACCGCGACTCGTATTTCCTCAACCCGCTGGTCTTCAAGCAGCTGCTTCCAGTTGTCCGCTCCCAGTCCCCCGAGAATGCGACTCTCGGCGTCAAGGACCCTCACGCCGCGGTCCTGCTGGGCTACAGCTTACCCCCACGCGACGAGTATACAGTGGTGCCTGTATACAACCTGCAGGATGAACTGAAAGTGCACGCTCTCTCGCTGCAGACCTCTATTCGCCGGGTGGGATACAAAGCAGACGATTACCGGATGTACGGGTGCGCCGGCGAGGTCAAGGAGGTGTCTTCGAGCGCAATCCTTCTCAACGACCTGGAGCAGCTGGATGCGACCTGTCGGCCGGTGGCTCTGCATCTGTGGGCGACCAAGCATCGGGTTCACGGCATTGAGATGGTATATAGCAACGCGCAGACCCGGCGACATGGCAATTGCGCTGGAGATGCCACTCATTCGCTGCAACTCGCCAACGACGGCTCGGAGATGATCGTTGAGATGAACATGCAGGAGGGGGTGGATGCGACGGGGGCCAAATGGATTGCATCTCTGGTCGTGGCCACCACGGCGTGTAACGTGCTCGACTCGACGGCGCCAGCAACGCCGCAGCAAGAGCAGCCCGAGACAGACGAGAAGAAGAAGGAGACAGAAGAGGAGGCAAAAGAGGAGGCAAAAGAGGAGCACCCTGAAGAAGTGTCGCTATCTCATATCGCGACGTTCAGATGGTTCAAGCCTGACGATGGACCCTGGACGGTGCGCGGGTTCTTCAGCTTCACCCACAAGCAGAGCATCTGCAGTCTCGGCGTGGTCTGGGGCAAGGACAACTTCGTCCCCATCCCGCGCAGCCCCGTGGCCGTCCCCCTATGCAGAACATATCTAAGCCTGAGCCCTCCGCTGCAGAAGAGTATGTTGGCGGCTGCTTCCCAGCCGGCGATGGTGGGCAAGTTCGTGCTGAGCGACTTTGTGCGGACCAGCTCGGGTGACGATGATACCAGGCCACCGACCCAGATGGAATACTTCAACGCACTCGAGGACATCGACGTGCACTGGCGCATGCAGTCGATCTCCTTCCAGCGCTCGCTGGGTCCTGTCCGGGGCCTCGCCGGCATCAAAGTGCGGTATACGAATGGCCGGGAGATCACGTTCGGTCACTTTGTGAAAGGCGTCCAGGCCTGGAACACGCCCCTGGATACCGACTTGGTGATCTGCAAGATGCTGGCTGCCCGTGCGACGGCAGATGGGCCTGTATACATTGACAGCGTCGAGTTCATCCAGTCCGAGGGGAACGGCAATCTCCTCCCCGACTGGCCCCTGGACATGACTACTTGTCGCTTCGTGCCGGACGAGGATCCCGACAAGGATCGAATCTATGATTGTCTCACCGAGGCGGCGCCCAAGATCGGCAATACGCCCTGGTCTGTTCGGGGGTTCTTTGGGGAGCATAACGGGGAGCTCATCACCTCTTTGGGGGTCGTTTGGGGGAGGGGGTGACTATGTCTATACCTTATCAACACAAGTCTTGTAATCAGCGATCAAATTCATGAAATAACAGAACTCTATATGGAGTTAGGGTTAGGGTTGAGTCTAAACCCTAATGCCTTGTTGGTGACTATATCTAGACTACGCTGTAAACTGGGTTTAAGTATATTCGTACTAGCATATCTGAATATACTATATATAATATATTTAGTTTAATTACACAGGGTCAAGCATGTTCAAGTTGAGCTCCTTGTTTATCTAATATTATAATAATATAGGTGAGCAGTACTCATATAATAGCCCTAACAAGTAGCATGCTCGATATAAATTTGTGTCTCACCAGCTTAGGCTGCTCAAGTCATAGATTACATTGTATATAGACTGCATGATATACCAGTATAAAATATAAAAAGCTGTAGACTGGTGTGGAGTTCCTCAGCAATGTAATCATATTCTAATAACATACAGTGCATGTGAGTACTATAGCTTCATAAAATCTCCCCCGACTTTATTAAGCATCGCTGCATGATCCTTGCTATAAGTATCACCATCTCTGGTGATCACATCACGCACCCACGGCCCACGAGGCTGAAATGAAGCCTTGAAAGGCAGCGCCCGCATAATCAGGCCGTAAGTGCACGCTTCAGGGTCAACGGGGATAGACTCTCCCGTTTCCTCGGACAGACCAGCCTTGATATCGAATGACCACAGCAGCCGGGCAACGACGATCCAGATAGTATTGCGTGCAAAATACCGCCCAGGGCATGTCCGTCTCCCATAGCCAAAGACAGCCGGGGGAAAAGGTTTCAGCGTTTTGCCATCCTCATCCAGCCAGCGGTCTGGGATGAAATCGTCAGGGTCCGAGCCGAACACGGCCTCCTCCCGGGAGATTGCCCAAACGTTGGGCACAACAATGGAGCCCCTGGGAATGATATATCCATTGTAGGTGGTCGCCTCTCGGTTCGCATGGGGGGCAGCCTCGGGGGCAGCAGGCCGCCAACGGAAGATCTCTTCGACAATAGCGGCGATGTAAGGCAGGTTAGGCCTGTCGTCAGGGCTTGGGAGACGATCACGCCCGACAACGGCGTCCAGCTCCTTGCGTGCCCGGACGACGAATCCTCGATCTTGTGTGATGCACGCCACCACAAACCAGATCAAGCTGTCGGTGGTGGCATCCAGCGCAGCGTCGATCGTGGTTCCAATCTCAAACACCAGCTCATCCAAGGGCATGCCGAGGCTGTTCCCTTCGGTATTCTGCTTGAAGTGATGCTTTGATATATTCCAGGCGTCGGACTCTACCGCTCGCCGGAAGCTCTCGTTGCGTAGTTTACACTTGGTCGTGAAGTGATTCTCGGCCTTTGCTTGCCATGGAGCGAGGAAACCGGGCAGGTTATTGAGCACAGGGAACAGATCAACAATGTGTGCACCGACCCGGACAAACTCGGAAAATTCCGTGTTGAGATCAACCAGGGCCCGAAGCATCGGGTCGTTAGAGTCTTTGACCCGGAAGCCATACAGCAAAGTATGGATGGTGCTAGCCACCGCGCGCTGGAAATGGCCTCGAAAAATCAGTCTCAGCGCCGCCTGAATCCACCAGGAGATCGTGCATCAGTTGCTGTGATTCCAGGATCTGGAAGGGGAGATAGGCGGCTGACGATGTCGCGTTGAACACTGAGATCTGTACTCTCTGATGTTGTCTGAACTGATCGTTGTAATTCATGAAGAGGATGCTGAGTCCCTTCATGGCCAGATCCGTCGCCAGCTGCAGTCCCGATGAGCTCATCTTGTATTCACATAGTGAGAAAAGCCTTTAGAATCTTACGAAAAGATAAGGGCGGTCTGAGAATGTGGCTCCACGAATCGCGAGGAGATCATGGGCTGCTTCTGATGTAGATAGAATGATGACAGGCTGGCCAAGGATGTTGACATGAATGATGGGGCCATATCGTTTGCTCCATTCGTGGTATGTTCTCCAGCTGTGAGACTTGGGGGCTTGATGGAGATTGCCGATTATTGGCAGTGGCTTGGGGCCCGGGGGGAGGGGCAAAGACGATGTTGATTTCCGTGTGGTGATATATATGCCTATTATGAGCCTAATAATGGCCACTATTGGTGCCAACTGCATGGTGATGAGGATTAGAGTTATAAACAGCTATAGATGCTTGGTTGCAACAATAGGTCAATAAACTAAATAAGTGAGAGTGGGAGGGAACCCTGAGGACTCTTGGAGGAAACACTGCATAAATAAAATCAAGAGAGACTACTATCTTGACCCAACGCCAATGTTACACATTATTCTTATTTTAGCTAACCAGCTATGCAGGATATAATGTCATTGGCTTATTGAATTGTCTGTGTCAAACAAAAGAAATCATATTCCCCATCTGCCGCTGAGGGGGAATTGGTGTAACTATCAAGTATGAGCTGTCGAAAGTCGGCACTGGGGGCCTTAATAATGATACAGATGCTACGCTCTTGCCTCTTTCGCTCTGTTGCACTATTGTCCTAAATACTAAGTATAGAGTAGCTCTAGTAAAGTACTGCAACTAGTGTTTAGCTTATAGTGCAGAGCATAGTTGTTTTAGAACTTGATTTTCTTAGTATCACCAAAAGTACTCTACTTATGTGTGATGGTGATGGTGAGATGACTGCGGCAGCTGCTTAGAGTAATGGAATATAAACCACACACCCAGGTGAGCCGCAGGCCTATACTCTATATAAAATAGTATATTACTAACTCTAATATCCAGAGTCTTCTATATATATATTACAGTGTATAGGTACTATAATAAACAAAAAGATTGCAATAACTACTTAGTATAGATGTTATTTATATACTAATACTATAAAAGCCAGAAAATTATTAAACTACACTCTATTTCACTTCAGCTTAATATGAATATGGACTACTATGAATCTTTTAGAGAATGATCAGGCTGTCATCTCAACCACAGATATAGCCATGGGTTTTATTGGCTCACTTGCTTTCAGCCTCGCGATTCAGCCTTGCGACCCCTCTTTCCCCGCCCCTTTTCTCTGACCTTTGATCTCACAAAAGTCATAAATGTATTCAACCCATCATGTCTCAAGCTCTGGCAAAGGCTGCAAATCTCACACCGGCAATCCGACTCGGCCAGGCGGTGTCTAACTTCAAAGCGACGCTGTCTAGCAGTGACAAGATCCATCTGGATAATGAACTCTCCACGCTTGCGAATCACCCTCCTGGTGTGTCTGATGTCAGCCGTGTCATCAGCGAGATCAATCTTCGCATCAAGGCAAATACACGGCATTCTTTTGGACCGCGCTTCATGAATATCCTCCTCGTTGTCCAGGAGTATGTTGCACTGGGAGACATCATCCTTGGCGCATCCCAGAATCTGCTGGCATGCTCCATCTGGGCCGTGGTGCGACTGGCACTGACTGTGAGTAGTGAGTGGTGAATACTTCATAAAGATGATGCTGATTCGATTTACAGATGCTCTCGCGGTCGACATCACACCTCGAACAAATGAGTGACCTCTTTATGAAGGCAGGGAGGAATGTACCGCGATACCAAGAGATGGAGTTGCTTTATCCGCGATCTAAACGGCTTCAGGATGGGATGTGTGAATACATGATTGTGATTGTGAATATCTGTCAACACGGCGTCCGGGTTTTGCAGAAATCGACCTTTTCTCTGACCACACTCACAATGTTTGACTCGAGTTTGGCCGGCTTGCAGAAGTCGCTGGATGGCTGGTCGACATTCATCAAGGAGGAGGCAAGCCAACTGCTCCATCGGGGGATGGTAGAAGAAGCCCAAAAAAACTCGACCTTCCGCAGAACTATGACTGTCTTCAATTCCTCCCGAGAACATCATCACCGACTGGCTCTGAAAGTGCGCTGGTTGAAGGCGTGTTCAACGTACGACTATCAAACGACATGGAAGCAGGCACGGAAAAAGGGCAACTGCTCTTGGTTTTCAACGGCTGCCGAATATACTCAGTGGAAAGAACAAGCCTCACCCTCTCATCTCTTCTGTGTCGGCAAATTGGGATCTGGCAAGACGACGCTGATGGCCAACATAGTCGACGATCTCAGCGTTTCTTGGACAATGGTTTACTTCTTCTGTCGCTATGATATTGCTGAGTCTTTGAGTGCGACCACCATCAATGGCTGTCTGACCAGACAGCTATTAGAGCATTGCCAGTTGAATTTGGAGACTCTTGAGGTGAGCTTCGCAGGAAAGGTTCCATCAACGTCCAATTCAACCTTCCTCGAACTGTTAAAGTGCCTCCTTCCGAAAGACTCAACCTATACTATCCTCCTTGACGGACTGGATGAGTGCCAGAATGATGAAATCGACGGAGTGATGGAATTCTTTCAGTCCCTTGCGAAGATGTTTCCCATACGCGTGTGCCTCTCACTTAGAAACGACACCGCTCGCAGTATTCCTGTGAAACTATCAGGAAAGGCACAGTCAACCACACTCGAGATACCTGAGGATAATCCGGATATCGAGGCGTACATTGAATCTGAATTGAAGGATCGCCTCGAATCCGGTAATCTGTCAATCGGGAATCTGCTTACAGTACTCGCCATTCAGGAAACCCTGCAGAGTAAATCCCAGGGAATGTTTCTATGGACAGCACTGCAGTTGGACTGTATCTGTGCAGAGCAAACCGACGAAGATATTCTCCAGGCGTTGAAGGATCTGCCGAATGACCTGATCAGCACATTTGTCCGTGTTCTTGAAAAATCCAGTCCAGCCGAACCCAAGAATGGTCGGCGAGTTATCGAGCTTCTGGTTGCTGCTCGACGGCCCCTGATGACTGCAGAGCTGCAAGAAGCCCTCAGTGTAGAGCCCGGTGACACCGAATGGAAGCCGTCACGCCAGATCAACAATATCCAGGCCATCCTGGCCTACTGGGGAAGTCTATTGACCATAGATGAAGAGGAGCTCACAGTTCGCTTTGCACATCATAGCATCCGACAATTCTTCATTAGCCAGGTCGATGCTACTCTTGCAAAAGCGGTCGACCCAGATGAGGCTAACCTTGAGATGGGACGGATCATCTTGACATACCTGAACTACGATATCCTGGACCGCCGGGTGACCAGAATGGTCGCTCCGTCTGTTCCTGCTGCAGGTGCGCCATCCAAAATCATTCAATCAACCTTTGGAGAATCCAAGAAGACCAAGAAAATTGCCCTGGCCTGGCTCAAATCGCGGAAGGAACCCTCATATGATATTGGTCATGTTCTACACAGTACAAGAGGGACTTCTTCACATGAATCATTTCACTTTTTACGGTACATTAAGGAGTACTATTATTATCATATCGCGGGGCTGTGGCGAGAGCAGGGGGTTATTAGCCAGTTCTGGAATCAGCTATATGAAAACAACCCATTTGAGGTAAGTATTGAAAAATACCCTTCATTCATAGAGTTACTAACGGCGATGCAGTTCAACTTAGAGAACTGGCTGGCCTTTGAACTTTATAAGGCTAAAGTTGAAGGTCTTATTGAAGATTTTATACCGCTTGATGTACAGGACCATCTCTTCACCTTAACAGCCATTCAAAATCTTGTTCAACAGTCTGGAGTCCCTCAGGCCGAAGCAGAGCCACTGGCCTCAAAGATAAAAAAGACTCAGAAACGGTGTTTGCAAATCTTGGTCTATCAGAAACTGGCAGACTCCATTCCTCTCCTTGCAGACTTGGATGTGCATGACATTGACCTTCCGATATCTGTCCATATATTACAGAAGCAACTCGATAACCGCAAGCTTCGGTCGAATTCAAGGCTCTCCCACATCCCCTTTGATGCGGGCTTGTTCTGCGATGCACAGAGGTTGTTTATGGCTCCAGCTCTCCTCCAGGGTAGACCAGCAAATTGGAGATCGTCTGCGACAGTACCTCTTTTGCCCTTAACGATGGAGGAAAAGCTTCCTATCAGAGATATTGACCTTGACAAGGCTATCATTCATCCTGCACATTGCGGATTACAGGCTTCATCTCCTAGTCGGTCCAATACTAGAGGTCTTTTGGTTGTGATCAAGAAGGCCTCTTCAAGCTATCATAGAGGGGTAATGTATACTAAGTTGCATGGAGAACCTCACCTGACCGCACATCTCGCCATATGGAAAAACCATATTCCCAATAGGGCCTGGACCTATTCAGCGATCTTCCCTATGGCAGACTCTAACCTCTATCGCTTCTGGGAATATCGCAACCGTTGGAAAACCGAGCCTACTGTGATAAAGTGGTCTTGGAAGCAGATGTTGGGAATTGCGGATGCCATTTCCAAGCTCATCGCTGCCGAGGAATACTTTGACGATTCTCCATGGCATGGCGCAATTGTGCCGAACAATATTCTGTGGTTCCGTGAGGATACCAACTTGGGGATCTTGAAATTGGATGTATTTCAGGAAGGCCCGTTGCTGTCCAGGACTAATTATTTCGACCCTTTTTTCCTTGAAAGAATCGACGTCTGGCGACTCGCGCTCATCTGCATACAGTTCGCTACTTGGCTGCTGATGGGATGGGCCGGCATCAAGGCCCTTGACCGTCAGGGCTTAAACCTCAATAACAGAACCATGCAAGCAATGGAGAATATCAATGCGCTTGCGACGCTCTCTGAGCCATGGCGAAAAACAGCCACATCGTGGGTGATGATGCTCCTACGGAAAGATAATTGTCCGCAAACCATTTCTCGGCTGATGGATTACATTATGGAGAACGTTCTAGTCAGCTCTCGGGGCCACGTACCTTCGTGTGCACAGTTTACAGAAATCTTGGCTTCAATATTACAGGAAGTAGACTAGAAATTACTATCCCAGCCCATGTGGTGTAAAGGATTTGAGCCATAATAGTATCTGTCCGGGTCTCTGTTTAGGCTTTCCATGATAGAGTCATTAGACGTAATATATAATCTTATTATACTACCATTACAAATCCTTTAATGTTTTTGCAATACTAATGCCTATTTAGTAATAGTAGATATGCCTAGCTGCGCCGCCAGCAGCATGTAAATATTTATAGATATACTTTCAAGGCTTAAAGAGGTAACTAATCAACTAGTTATATAATCTACTTTAATGGTAATGGGCCCCATGAGAAATATACCTTATATATTGGTATATTCCCATTAATTACTGACATTCTGCCTATATATATACTTTATAATAAAACTAATAACAATGGTGCTGCTATAAGGGAGGAAGTACTCCGCTAGTATAGTAATCAAGATGGCCTTACAGAAGTAGTTACTTTAGATCCTATAGGCTGCTTCTTCAACCCAGTAACTCTTGTGTGCAGCAACAATAGACCTCTGATTACTTGACGGCACAACAGCTGGATACCCCCCAAAGCCTTTATCGCATCTGGCCCAGGTTTAACGGCGACCTTGTCCACTCAGAGCAGTGGCTCAACAGCAAGGCGACTTGGAACACCTTATTCAGTGGAGAGGATGGAGCATGGTTATTGAGAATTTTCTCACTTTCAAGGACTTCACTTCTCTGATCTATAGGCTTATTGCTGAGGCTGAAACTATGATCCTGCCTAACACTATTTTTTAATAAATATAGCAAATTATTCACTGACATGATATGTCTAACTCTATTGTTTCTCCTAGAACTAATATATACTATTATTATTATACTGGTATGTGGTACTGGTAAACAGCATTAAATTAGACAACCACTATCACCTCTATTAAATCTATAGTATGGGGTAAGTGATGCTAATTTCTAACCCTAAATCCTCCAGAAAAAACCTAATTGAAGCAAATGATGGTCATTACTCTAGTACCCTAGTCTATATGGATCCTTATGATACTTAGTTAGACTATATTAGGCCAATAACTGCAACTTTATGCCTATAGATGTTGTCATTAAATCTATAAATAACTGCTTTATTGCGCTAGACTAGGTAGAAATTGACTTAACCCTAATGTATATGTTAATAACTAACCTTAACAGCTTGCACCCTACTGAGCTGCTCCATAACTAGAGGATCTGCCTGCAAGTCAGGGATTACAGCCCTAACCCTAAACCTCGTGCCTCATGATGCTAGGATGAAAGCCATTCTAGTTCTAGTTAGAGACAGCTCGACGGAGCAATATAAAGCCCTAACAAGTATATGAATATTAACCCCAACCCTATACTCCTTGAATCTGGTGGACATGCAATGAGTAGGAAATATATTTACACTCACTATATCTACAGACTTTACAGAGCAACTACATATTCATTTCAGGTAGAACCCCAGATCTACTCCCTCGTCGCGCTCCCACTGCAGCTCACCATTTCCAAGATAGCCAAAGGGGTCAGAAGTGGCATACTTGATGTCAAAGTCCTCCCCGCGGATGTTGCTGATGCTCTCTGTATATCATTAGATATAATTCGACTCATTTCATGAATATACTCACCTTTAAAGTGCAAAACACTCCCTGGGTACATGGCTGTCACGGCTTTCCCGTTGTTATACCACGCGGCACAGCCTGTGCTCCAGACGGTATTATTCAGAGTCGCCTGCGCATGGCGGTTATACTGCTGAACTGCAGTATCTTTGACACAGACCGACCTATTGATCATTGGTAAATGTATCAGTATCTCAACCAGCTGAGTATACGCACTTGATATCCTCTTTGGCCATCTTTTCAACCCATTTCAATGCATAATCGACGCTCCACCCCAGCATCTGCGGCACGCTGCCATGGCCGATCGGACAGTTGGGTCCTGCAAAGACAAAATAGTTGGGCATGCCGCCTGCACACAGCGAGAAATACGCCTGCGGTGTCTCTGCCCAGTCCTTGGCCGGCGTGCGACCATCACGTCCCATCATCTCCCAGCCTGGCACGAAAGACGTCTCGAACCCCGTGGCGCAGACAATCAGGTCGAACTCGTGTTCTGCGCCGTCACTCGTGCGAATACCCGTCGGTGTGATGCATTCGATCTTGTCGAAACACCATCCGGCGTTGCTCTCTTGCAGGGCTTCGAGATATCCATCTCCCGGGCTCAGACGGCGACATCCAACCTCTGTTTGGGGGATGAGGCGGTCGATGAGTTCCGGATTGCCTGCCAGCTTCGAGCGCATCAGGTCGTCCACTGCAGCAGATAACATACCATTGAGCTCTGATCCAGTCAGCATTAGTCGGTAGACCGTATTCACCCTATCTCTATCAGCGTTTTGTATGTTTATAGGGTTTAGGGTTTTCTTTCGACATACGAATTCTCCACGCGCTTGCGATACTTCAAAAACGCCGCTGGATCCTCTCGAAACGTCTTCTTCTCCTCCTCTGTATACGCAAAGTTCGTGCCCTTCCCATCCCGTGTGACGTCTGGACACAGACTCATCGATACCCAGGTCGGTTGCCGGATGAAATTGACCAGCTTCGCTGCCCGAGGCTGCAGGGCCGGGACCACCTGGAGGCCTGACGATCCGTTCCCAATCACGGCGACTCTCTTGTCGGTCCAGTCGTAGGTCTTATCCCAGGCGGCGGTATGGATCACTCGTCCTTTGAAATCGCCGAGGCCAGGGATATCCGGCATCTGCCACCGGTTGAGGATGCCACCGGCGTTGATCAGGACGTCCGCCTCATCGTGGATCACAACATCGTCTCGCCTCAGCTGCAGAGCCCATTTGCCTGTCTCTTCGTTCCAGACACTCTTCTCCAGCCGCGTGTTCAACACCACCCTCTCCTTCAGTCCGAACCTGTCGGCCGTGTCAAGGATATACTGCTCGATTTCGTCGCCCTTGGCGTAACATTGACTCCATTCCGGGTTCGGCGCAAAGGGAAACACGTACGAGTGCGCGGGGACATCGCATCCGACACCCGGGTATATGTTCTCAAACCAGGTGCCCCCGACATCGCGGTTCTTCTCGTAGACCACCCAGTCAACAAAGGACAGCGGGTTCTCGTGTTGCAGTTTGTACGCCAGCGTGAGACCCGAGAAGCCCGCGCCAATGCACACGATGCGCAGCTGACGAGGCTGGAACGCCCAGCGGGCAGGGGAGACGGTGAGGGGGCCCTCAAGGGCCTCGGGGGCGACCTCGTTAAAGAGCATGAAAGCAGGGAGTAGACGGCGTAGATTGCGCTGCCAACTACAGCAATGTAGAGGCAGAAGACGGGTTAAATAGTCGGCCTGGGGACAGGGATAAAGACTCCTTCTGTTATCTGGACATGCCGCTATCAAGTACTAACAAACAACGGCGCACGACGGCTGTTTCTCGGCCAAGCTTGACCAGGAGAGGTAATTACTACGTCGCGATTTCAATTGATAAGAATACCACGACTCTCTCCTTGTCTCATGCGAGTCATGGCCTGCATATAATCCCTGTCGCTAGTATGGAATTGCACAGAGCTGTATTGAGCAAATCATCCATCTATCAGATGTATAGGCAGCTAATAGGTGGTATTGGGATTGGTACTATATAAAAGGATTTCAAGGAAAATGTATAGAAAAGACAGTTGTGGAGTATACCATTTACTATATAAATATAGTCTTTAATAATCACTAATTAACATCCTGGCCATATCCCGGTTAAGACGGAACATCATCCTGGCTGTTTAGGCCCCGCCTTTTGTGCTTTGTTCCTGTCTTCATTTCAGCATTCCAGTCTTAAGTCTTATTCCGTCTTATTCCAACCTTTGTTCCCCATTCTATTTCATCTTGATTTCTGCTCTCTTGATGAGTCCTTTTGGAGATGCCCCTGCTGGTACAGACCTCACTGCCAACCGGCGTCTACAAGACAATGCAGCTGTCACTGCCACATACATCATGGCCGTCCTCGCCATTGCGCTGCGGTTCTACACCCGGTTTCGAGTGCAACAGGCGGCGCTGGCCGCGGACGACTGGACGATCCTGGTGTCTTTGGTGAGGCGGCTGCTGTAATCCCTCGAAATTGCATTAATAACAGTGATGGCAGCTCGGCGTGACGGCAACCTTCATCTCGACAATCATCGGTACCACCCCCGTTCAATGCCCTCGGCCCTTCCCAACTTACCCTGATACTAGGCGGATACTACGGCCTCGGGAGACATGTCTGGAGCGTCCCTCTGGCCGACGTTGAGGGCCTCATCCACATCCTGTTTGCATACGTGCTGCTTTACTTCATTGCTGTGCCTCTCGTCAAGCTGTCGGTCTTGCTCTTCTACCGCCGCATCTTCGGCATGCGATGGACGTTGTGGTTCTGTGCGGGCCTCACCGTCGGCTACTGGGCGGGCTGCACTGCCGCCTTTCTGTCCTGCTGTCGCCCGCTCTCTTACTACTGGATGCAATATAGCCATCCCGACAGCGGGAAGTGCATCTTCGAGCTGTACCCGTTCTATATCGGCAACGCTGCCGCCAGTATGGCCACCGACGTACTCATCCTCACCGTGCCCATGCCCATCGTCTGGAAGCTGCACATGCGACGCTCGCAGAGGCTGCTTGTCTGCAGTATCTTCTTGCTAGGCAGTTTGTAAGCATCTCCATGGCCTTACACCCAGTATAGCTATCCCGTTTCACTGACTCTCTCCAGTGTCTGTGTGGCGAGTGTTGTCCGCATCTACTTCATGACCTTCCTCGCCACCTCCGCCGACATCACTTGGATCATGGGCAACGTCTTCATCTGGTCGAGCGTCGAGCCCTGCATCGGCATCGTGTGTGCCTGTCTGCCCACCCTGCAGCCACTGCTCCGGCACAGCCTCCACAGTCTCGTCTCACGCATCCACTCGTCGCAGAATACCCCGAGGAGAGTCAATCAGATCATGCCGGACTGGGACGAGGCCTGTCTGACCACACATGCCGTCCAGATCAAGATGGGATCGGCAGGGAGTGCGGCGGCACCAGATGGCAAGATCACCGTGGAGACCGATTTTCAGCTTGATGAGCTGCGACGGGCAGATTCTCAAATAGACAGCGATGATTAGTTTTCTTGATTACAGAGAACCAGCATATAAGATAAATAATATATTAATGGTCGAATGTTGAAGTATACGGGGGAATATGGATCTGTCTAGATTGTTCCAATCACCTTTACTTCTGATAGACTGATGCAGCATGATTGTTATTAATCTATAATTCAAGTATATTATCAATGAATCCTGGTAAATCAGTAATATCAGGGATTTCTCTACCCTGGCTTCTTGTATCTATAAATGATTTGAATGAAACCTTATAGTATATTGATATATATGGATGAGCTACTTATAGTTATATCGAGTACTATCCTAGATTACAAGAGTACATGGTCAAGAATCATGCTCAATAATCATATTAGTATCAAAGGCATGGACTAATTGTATACTACTGCTTGAAGACCAGGAAGAATCTCCAGATCCTTGGGCCGGTAGGTGTATTTGCCTTCCTTGGAAATGTCTGCTTCACGGGTGCGACGCTGTTGCTGCGTCTGGCGCACTTTGACCCATTCCTCTGTGGTCAAATGCTGGCCCAGCTCTGTGAAGGCATTCTGCGTGCGGCCCAGGCGCTGGAGAAGGGGGCTGTTGGCAATGGGATCAAGAACAACATGATTATTCGGTCTGTCATCGATGATCAGCCATGAAGATCAGTAATGGAATCCTTCACTCATAGGCCTACCGTGCAAAGTACAATAGTCCCAAACGGTCGACATGAGCCTGATCCTGCGGCGGTGCATGCACTCGATGGACGCTCGACTTGACGAGCCCCCCAGTAAGCGCCGTCAGGGCATCACAGGTGTTGATGGTGATGGTGCCGTCCTGTGGACGCACCCATTTCCACTGGCCTTCCGAGTTGAGGATCTGCAGCGCCGCAACAGGCTGGCGGAAGAGCAGCGTCACTGTGCCTAGATCTGTGTGTCCGGGCGAGTATAAATCGCCGACTTTCTTGTTCTCTTCGGGATCGCGCGCCGCGTAGTGCATGTAGCGGAGGTGGTCTTCGCCTTTGACGTCGTATTGGTGATCTCGGACCAGTTGGTCCTCGTCGGGGAGCTCAAGCAGGATGGCAAAGAGACGCAGAAGCTTCACGATGACCTCTTCATGGCATTTCTACTCGTTGTTAGCAAGTTTTTATTGTCAATTGGAAGCCAATGTAGACATCACTCACCCGGCTAAAGGCCTCAATCTCAGCGATGTGATCGCGCAACACAGGCGGCTGCTGGCGCTCGTGAAAGCCGTCGAACTTGGGAATATTATATACCTGGACATTATCCCGGATGCCGTTTCCAAGGCTGTAAGAACTGTCAGTCCAGTATTGGGCTGATCGAAGAATCTCACCCACACTCGGTATCCAGCTGGACGATAGCCGTTGTACTCGCCCTTGACGAGATCATTCGCATTGTGGTATTTGAGCTTCTCCTCTAGAGGAAGCGCATAGAACTCCCGTCCCAAGGCAAACTGGAAGTCGACTTCGTCCTGGCTAATGTTGAAGTTCTTGACATAGAAGAACCCTACTCATTACTTCTTGAAGACTTCAAAACCGAAGATATCCTTACCGACATGCTGCACAGCGTGGTCAAGCTGCTTAACGAGCTGCTCCTTGCCGCCAGGCTGGTCATACAGACCCAGATCCAATGTGATCAGCTCAGCCCAGTCCACTGCGTCATGTCAGCAGAGACTATATTGAAGATTACTCTCATCCTCAAACTCACGGTCTGCCTTTGTGACTGGAACGTGGTCATACCGCTCAATAGCAATCGGCGCCATTTTGAATTGGAGATACAATGGGTATTGAGATAGATATAGATAGATAGAGAATGCAGCAGTGTTATTTGCATCGAGCTGTATACCATTTTATGTATTCTATATCAACCCCGCCTTTGCCCCCGCAAGACAGCACGCAATAGCAAGGGGGATATCACCATGCTGGCCATGATTCGGCGATTAGGTATGGCAGGATTCTAGCACGTTATATCTGCAGAAAGCACATCTTTATGGCATCATCCTTAGGGGCATGAGATAATCCACCATCTCATTTGTCTCTTGCGACAGAAAGAAAGGATAATCTAAGATATGGTAATGAATTCATAATCTCTTGTACCAGTGGTATTAATCTTGTGTCATGTTTCTCCTACTCGCTCTAGATATTAATTGCGATTCATCAGACTCTTCCATTCAATGATATATGCTTCGTATTTGTCTACACCTAACAATATCTTAGACACTAGTCACATCGTTATTTGCTTCTGTCACCTCTGGCTGCTGATCACTATCCAAGGCCTCCTGGCTGCGTCGGCGCTCGTCTCGCTGCTGCTGCTTGAGAATAGCATAGGTCACTAGGACAAGCACCACAGAGCCCACGGCAGCCCCAATGAACCCCGGTTGAAAGCGCGGCGACTCAGCAGTGCGCCAGATGGCGTCGTCCCACCAGATCATCATGATATAGCAGAAGATGTTGGAGACGGCGATGACAAAGCCGCGCATCTCGTGGTCGTGTGGGATGAGGTCAGGGAACCAGGAGAAGTAGATGCCCGGCACGCCGTACGCGATCCAGAGGAAGTAGTAGCCGGTGAACTTCAAGGCCCGGGGCACGTCCCAGATAAGCATGATGATGATGCCAAAGAAGGTGCCGGCTTGCATCCCCGTAATTGCCTCCCATCGACGCCCGCGGAACAGCGGCGAGTCCGAGATCATGCCCGCCGCAATCTGCGCCGCGGCAGCAATGCCCGCCTGCGCCGTGGGGAGCACATTCACCTTGTACACGCTGTACCCTTCGGCCTTGAGCCAGAGGGCAAAGGCCGGCTGCTGGTTGGGACACGCGGCCTGCACGATGTAGTACGTCACCGGCAGCACCCAGAACTGCCACTGCCGCACGATCTGCAGGATCTTGCCCCGGGTCCAGGACGACTTGCCCAGGGGCTTCTGGCCGGCGCGGATCAGGCGCCGGCGTGCAAAGTCCACCTCCGCCGGACTCAGATAAAACGCACGCGTGGTCTCGGGGAAGTCTGGGTTGAACCAGAAGCCCATCAGGCCGCAGGGGAGGCCGATGATCCCGCAGATGATGAACAGCCACTGCCACCCGGAGTGGCCCAGATGCCCGTTGAGTCCGTCGTAGGCCCCTGCCTGCAGATAGCCGCTGAACATGGTCGCCAGCGTGGTAGTCGAGTAGAAGATGGTCACCCGTTTTGCCCGCTCCTCGCTCGTGTACCATGAACCGATGATATACACGATGCAGGGGAAGTATGCCGATTCAAAGACTCCGACTAGAAAGCGCAGGGCGTACATCTGCTGCACCGTTTTCGCCGTGGAGCAGCAGAAGGTGCAGACGGACCAGAGGAGCTCGCAGGTTGGGATCAACAGCGAGGGCCGCACGCGAGTCACCAGAATGACGGCGGGAATCTGCCCGATCACATAGCCCGCCGTGAAGACGTTGCCCATGTACGTCAGCTCGCTGCCGCCCATGCCCAGCGCCTCCTTCATGCCCGACACATAAGCATTGTCGATGTTTGCCTGGGCCAGGTTCTTGCAAAAGTACCCCAGGCAGGTGTAGGTGAGCAGGAAACAGTCCAGCTTGAAGAGAAACAGCTTCTCCCGCCGCGGCTTGTCCGGGTCATCCCATACATAGCGCCGAACGTTGCGTAGAGCTCGGGCGAGGCCTGTCCGTTGCTTGGGTGGTTCGGGTGCGAACTCGTCAAAGGCCTCAAAGCTCTCCGAGCCCTCTGAGCTCTGCGCCGTGGCCTGTTTCTCGACGGTAGCTGGTTGGATTGGCGTCATGTCGACTTGAATGAACCTAGAGACATCATACATCAGAGAGCCTTCGTAGCGAGCTTAAATATACGAATTGTCGTCATCTAAAGCTTCCGTCACATCATGTTAGCCGTGTCAGCCACTGCACACTGACCGTTGAGATGGCATCGATCTATCTATGTGGAGCAGGATTGTGTCAATTGCACAGCAATGATGCCATCTACCTGCACCGAGCTCGCCATCCTGGAAAATAAGTCGACACACTTTCTTGGAGTGATAGCAGTCTCCATGAGAAGATCAAAGTATAGAAAATAGGTATTTAAGTAAATGGTTGACAGATAGTCATATAAGATTACTATAGTATGTTATTTTAAATAGAGGGCTAGGAAAATTAGTTACTGCTTCACTATACATATATAAAATTAATAATAGGTTATACAGCTTATTGGGATACTATATTATTCTTAATTAGAATTTAGAGATGAAATTCTCTCTCTCCTATATAATATAAAATAAAGGTTTTATCTCTCTGATATTTTTATTTTTTATAAGTTAAAAGAGTTATTAAAAGTATTATTATATTCTCTCACACACCAGGCCTATGAGAAAATTGCTATTAGTGTATGTTACTTAGTCTTATATAATAGCCACTAATTCATTCTAACCAATAGAATATGCTTACCCTATTAGCTATATTATTTAAGAAAGCATTCTCATAGATTCAATATCACTATCCTCTCTCACCATAAAAATAAACCATCTTCCCCCTGGTGTGACAGTGCATCACACTCACTTCTCGGCCGAGGACCTGCCGAAGCCCTGAGGAGATAAAATGCTGTTATTCTAAAAGAGAAGAAAAAACTTGTTAATATAGGTATTATGGCTAGGGTGCATTAGTTTATCCCCTTCGACCTTTCAGCCAACAGCCAGGATAAGTCATTTTGCAGCAGCTGCTGGTCCTTATTGCCAAAGCAGAGCTGATTGAGAATTGGCTGGGTAAAGAATATATTATCTTCTAAACAGTGGTTTTCTCTTCTCTGCTCTTTGTCTGGACATTCTTCCTTTACGTGGCTGGGAAAGATGTAGTCTGGCCGATCATTCTGAAGTCTCGAGATTCCTTTCTTCCATTTTGATATCAAGGCTTACACAACCACAATCTAGGCGCAGCGGTTGTATCTGTTACGTTATGGTGCAATTCCAACTACTTATACTGTCCCTTGAGGATTTTGGTGAAAATATACCCAAGTTCCAATTCCTAACAAACATAAAGTGGCTGATCTCTAACACTATCGGATTCCTGAAAGATGATTGCGTCAAGCCTTGAATAACATGGGTAGTGGCATAGATAAACTCTATATCAATATAGACGGGGCTTGGCTGGAGAAATAAGGAATCTCATGTGTAGAGTAAAGCGTTGTAAAAACTGCAAAGTTCTAATGTAACTATATGTCAACTAGAGCTAGTACATAAAGACAACATCCACAGCCAATAGATATTCTACCAGGACAGGATTAACTTATAACCAGGTCGAGGCTATGTCCAGTCAAGGTAGATCAATTAACACTCCTCCTGGCAATAAACACCGCCGGCGGTATCACACTGGGTGCGGCAGTCCTGGACAGCAATGCCGTCATCACTCTTGCACTGTGCCAGGCAGAAAAGTTCAAAGTATTCGATGACACAGGTGCCGTAGCTGCCACCAAAGCAGTCGGTGCGCTTATCGAGAGAAGAGGCAGGAGCGCGCTTAAAGTCATCGGCAGGGGCGGCGACAGCGACCATCGAGAGGGCCAGGAGGCCGACAACGGATTTCTGAGATGGTTAGTTTGTATACTCTCGCAAGACTCAGAAAGCTGCCTCAAAGGAAAGACTAACCATATTGAAGAACATGGTGAAGATAGTAGAAAAAATGGTCTTTTTCGGGAAGAGGTGTTTGAGGATATTCGAGGATGCTTGAAGATGCTTGGGGATGCTGTGGAATGCTTGAGTGATGATGAAGAAGATTTCTCGACAGGATGTTGCTGGCTTTTATACCTTTCTATCAGATCAGATCATGCAACAGAGGGTTAGATAGTAGGTGTAGATCAGACTAAAGTCCTTCCTCTTTAGGGCAACTCGCTGATGTATCCGGTGAAGCTAATTTCTTACAGCCACCAGCCAGCCTCTGAGGCTAAATTCTGACATTGACCAACTAGTCCATAGGGCTAATTTCTTACAAGCCTTTCATGGAGTGGGGTGGCCTTTATCATTGGATATTAAAGGCAACCAAGCTATTTTTTCTGCAGGGAAAGCGCACTAGCAGGGCACATGGCAAGTCGCATACTATATAACACAAGGCAAGCTGATGAATGAGTATAATTGGTTGATATTTTGTGCCCCGCATCGGGCCGTGCCGGCATTCAGCTCTTCTGGCCAATCATCTTGAGCTACTCCCATTTCCTCAGCCCTGTTTTCCTCAAGATTATGCTCTAAAGTATGGAGTATGTGAATAGGTAATTATCAGCTGGCCAACGATGATCGCTATCATATGAGTGGGCTTAGCCTGTAGTTGGTCTCAGCCTCCCGGGTCTGTATGTTGGTCTAGCCCAAGTCATCGTTGCGCTGGGCTACCCCATGCCCCTGGCTAGAGATCAATCAAGGAACATCTGACGAGAGAGGAGCTCACTAAAATATTACTGCACTACTCCGGAGTAATGCCTTGATATCCTGATGTCGACAAGAACAGCATGTAGTATGCACTAGAGAAATCAATCAATTCCGCCAAGGGCAGTGCTCTCAAGAGCTTTATTTGAATGAACTAGTAATAATAGGGAAGATTGATCAATTAGAAGTTTGCAATATAATTCTCTAGATCCTCAGGTACTGTGTTTTCAGCTGCAAATGCCGCTCAGTAACTAGCAAACACAGGGGAGCCACCTCTGTGCCCGTCGGGAAGAGTCCGAAACAGCAATCTACCAAGTACGGTGGGTCGGCAAACGTGCCAGCATCAAGGGTTGGTATGGGCGCTTTTCAGGGTTTTTTCTGGGGCGGCTGGCGGGTGAACAAGGAGACTAAGGAGACTGGGCATCAGCTCATGCTAAGTATAGCATACTAGGTATGTTATGGAAGGCTTTATTTCTATCTCTGGACAATGTCTCTCTGCCAACCACTGACAGTATTACGTTCTATATTAATTATTGAGCAGGATTAGAAGTACACCAGCGTGACAGAGATACCTGCTTCTCTTTCCAAGGAAATCACCTTCTTCAGGAACTCAGCCGCTGAATTTTCGACACGGGGAGGAAGGCTGTGTTAGATGGGCCGCTTTCCCCCCGATCCACTGCAGTGGCGTGGTAAGAGGCCTCGGACAGTGTCCGCTACTAGATTTCCAGGTTTTCCTTGGACAAATAAATCACAGGCTGGATTTCTTGATATATTCTGATCCACTCCATGGCAAAGACGAAGTATACTAATTAATTAAAATCCCTCTCTACTAGTATAATCTATAAATGATATAGCTGACAGTAGAGATCTTCCACTAGCCTTTTGAGTATTGATGCTGGCCAGAAATTGAGACATATTCAAGGAGAGGCCCAGAAATTGATTGTTTTTCTAGGATGCGAGTCATAAGTGAAGCAAGCTGGTTAGAGGTTCATAAAGTGCTATATTCCAAGCAACAGTATACTTATCATCCATAGACTAATTCTTGGGCCGTATGTCAAAGCCTAACTCAATCTTTGATGAAACCCTCACTTTTTTCAAGCTATACATCAATTTCCTGAAAGCACCTCATTCTCAGGAATTTACCGATTTCCAAACGGCCGGTTCTCATCAATCACTCTCCTGATTTCCAACTTTTCCTCATCTGTCAGATGGACCTCTCTTGACTTCCAATTCTCTTCCAATCGAGATGCTTTTGTGGTTCCCGGAATTGCAATCATCTCCTGCGCAGCCACCCAAGCCAGAGCGATCTGGGCAACAGTGCATTTTTTCCTTGCAGCCAGCCTTTTGAGTTCCTCCACAATGGCCCGATTCTTGTAGAAGTTTTCTCCTTGGAATTTGGGGGCTGGCAACATCAACACATATCCTATATCCATCCAGCTGGGTCAAATTCGTGAAGTGTGATACGTACACTTTCGTCGCACATCATCTAGAGGAAAATCATCCGGTGAGGCATAGGGAAAGGAATCGACCAGCCATCCATGCCCAAGAGGACCATATGCTACGTACGCGATATTCAATTCTCTGGCGGTGTCGATGAGGCCGTCTCGTTCATGCAACGTCTCGGAAGCAGAGTATTCAGCCTGCACGGCGTCGATCCGAGCGACTATTGCAGTTAGTATGGTTCTAATATCGAAAACAGTCGAACATACTTGAATTGGCTTTACGTAACGTGCTGGCTGAACATTCGCACAGGCCAATATATTTTGTTAGTCCAGCCCGTCGAATCTCATCTAACACGGGAATCGATTCTTCGAGGGGTGTATTCGGATCTATACGATGCAGGTAGTATAGATCAGGGGTGAACCCAAGTCTGGTAATGGTTCCTTGTATATATTCTCTGATATGGGCGGGAGAATTGGTGAGTTGAAATTTAGAGTCGAAACCGCATTTTGACGCGACTATAAAGTATTATACATCCATATATATCATATATATATTCACCTGGATATACTATACTTACCGAATACCTTCTCACGCAAATTGTGCTTTTTGATAAAATCTCCCAGGAGCTGTTCATTCACGCCTGCTTGATACAGTACCTGAGTGTTTAAATTAGAATATAATATGATATGATATAATTGGATAGGATAGTAATACCGCAGTGTCCCAGAAGGTACAGCCTAGTTCAATTGCTTTCAGTAAGACCGGTTCAGCTTCTTCCAGGCTGAGGTTCGACCCCAAGCCAAAACTGAGGCCCATGGCCCCGAATCCAGGAGTAGGAACAGTGACATCAGCCAGAGCGTTCATGATGAAATAGTGTGATATATGGAGTACAGAAGATCAGTTCTATAGGACAGTGTACTATTATGGTATTTGACTGGAGGTAGCTTATACATATATATAGTTACTTAAGTCCTATTCCCGCTATATCCGCCATAAGATTACTAAATGAAGCCCTTTTTCTTGCCCTTTGCTGATATTGATTGGCTGAAACCTTGGTCCCTCTCAAATACAAAAGTAGCTATCCTTACATCCTTTGACCTTCCAGTCAGCCATATCTGAGAAGAGATCCAGATCATGACATATCTCTTCATAAATGCCTCAGCGGCCTATCACGTCCGCTAAGCACCCTGTATTAGATGCCAAGTAGTCATTTAGCATCCAGATGGGGGCCAAAAATGACCAGATAGACTTTATTGCCGGCCAGATCGCACGTAGCGGAGATAGGCGATTACTGTCGCACATGTCTTAAGGGTCAAATACAAGGTCATCATAAGTGAGTAGCGACATTTTGTATGTCTAACTAGCAATTTAGACAGTGGATTTAGAGTCAGCTAGCCGGGGCCTGCTATAGTTGTAGTATCCATTAATAAGAGAGCACTATTTCCCTATACAGTGGGAGCTTAGCTATTAGAATGCATATAACCTATGAAACCCACTACTATGTAGTCACCAGGTATAATCAACATACTTCATACTGTATCCCAGCTGGGATAACCCTTGTATAGCCCCATATGTAACGGCGACGGCGAGGTTGCCCGGACGGACGGGTGCCTCAGGCTGACTTGATGAATAGATGAAGCCATTCATTAGGGTTTAGCCTCTTGGAGAGAGATATTGGGCGCGTCTCACAACGCATCTCTCTCTCCCTTTCCCTCTCTGTTCGAATATTCTCGTACGTAGCCGCTATTATTAGCACTATTTCTATTGATTGGGCCATCACACAATATCCATGTCCTATCGAGCCCCCCCGGCCATGCTGTACCCCCTAGTCCAAGCAAAACGGAGATATTGGATCCAATGACGCACAAATTAGAGATAAAAAACGCAATAGTGGGATTTTCCTATAGATCTATCAGTACACACACAATAGACTGTAATTACCTTTCATCTTTTATGTCCTAAGTATCTGGAAGAAGTGAAGGAGTTTGAAGTGTTATAGAATCGGGAATAGATAATAGACAGCAGATATTAGAGTATAGAGACCCGAGAAAATTTACGTAAAGCTCATGATATGGCTATACAGATTATTGCTCAGCAGTAATGTTGAATATTTGCTTCTCTAATTCCCCGATATATGCGGCATTCTGATAAAAGACAGATGATTTTTCAAGTTCTTTCTCATAGTCTACTAAGGTTGCATGAATAATGCTACTAGATATAATATACATAACCAGCCCTCTATGGTACACCTGTAAAACTCGGTGTAGGAGTGATTACCCTCTAGCTGTCTGTCACTTCCCATGCTCTATATACTAGTTAGGGAGCTCACTCCCTAACCCCTATTATAGGCTAAAGAATATAAGGAAGGATCTAAAGGATTTAAGGAAGGATCTAAGAGATCCTTTCTTTTACTTAATAACCTTCTTTACCTTATTATCCTCCTTATGGTCAGTAGTTAACCATAAGGTAGGACCTAATTATTATATAATAATATTAAATATAGTATATTTAATATTATATCCTCCTCTACTTACCTTAACTTTGCCTATAAAGTCATAAGATCCCCTTTTTCTTTTACTAGATGATTTCTTAGATTAATATAATCTTTAAGGGGTTATTTATTCTTTATTACTATAGCCCCTCTTACTCTTTAGTTGCCTTACTAGGGTGTCTTAGCTATAAAAGTATTTATAATATATTATCTTTATTAGCTAGTCCTAGCTAATTAGGGGCCTTACTTATTCTATTATCTAATAAGGTAAGACATTATATTAGGGGTGTTATTACTAGATATAAGGCTTCTTTATTACTCTTTTATCTTTCTTTATCTTTATTATTTAGTCTCTTCTCTATAAATTTATATAGATTTTGCTATATTATCACCTCTCCCTTTTATTATAGAGATCTTTATCTACTTATCTCTACTAATTAATTCTTCTATTCTTATTTTAGTATCTTAAATATAATTATCCTTTAACTCTTATTTATTATATTTATTACTAATAACTAATTCCCTAGGTATATTTATTTACTATAAAAAGATTAATATATAGCTAACTATTATCTTAAGGGCTTTATTTTATCCTTATAATTATATTATCTTTATAAAGGATATAAAACTCCTTTAGTATTTATATATAAAGCATGATTTTAGCACTAGCACTCATAATCCTAATAGAAGTACTATAGCTATTTATTTAAATACTAATATTTCTACTACTCTAGTTTATAAGATAAGTGATAAACTCTAGTATCTTTATAATTATTATAGTTATTTAAATAGGACTTAGAAGAAATATATTATAATACTAGCTTATTATTATAATGGGCGCCCTTACCATTAGGGGGCGTGTGTCAACTATCTTTTCTATAGGAAGAGTAATAATTACTTATATAGTGTTGCAGGAAAGGATGACCTTGAGGCTGCCAATCAGGATGATTTATATATATTTACACCATTATCTAACTAGCTAAGCCTAATGTAGTTAGCATTATACTCTAATTTTTTATTTACTTAATATATCTAGCCTAACTAATGTTAGATATGCTGGGTAGTATATAAATTATATAAAAATATAATACTATTAGCCCTAAATATATATAGGATTTATTAAAGTTATAAGCCTAATTAACTCTTAATTATTATTATATTTAT